CTTAAGCATGTTGTTATTCAGAGTTTTACCCTGTGCAATCTAAAGATCTAAGATCTATTTGAGACTGGAATTATAAATGTGTATAATGCTTAGATATAAAAGACTATAAGTACCATATAATTGTAAATATAGTGCTCACCCCTTCTCTTCATCAAATGAATTTTGTAAAGAATAGACTTAAGACAAAAGCATTGAGACTTTTTATGAAGCATGTAATGGAACTAAATATCGTTTGTATTCAACGATGAAATAACCATTAAATTTTGATTTTGTAGGTTTATCTAAGCCAGAATATGTTCCTGGGTTAACCAAGACTATACCAACCAGAGGACTAGTTGATAATAATGATAGTACCAATCTAGCTAATACATTATTTAAAATCAATAATGAACTATCTCATGTATTATCTAATTTGAATAATCATAGTAATATACCTCTACAGACCTCACCTACATCACCATCTACTACAGGTAGATATATTACCCACCCAAAAAACAACAACTGCCTCTAACAAAATTTGGAATGTTCCAAGAAACATCATAGCTTTTAGATAATTGTAAACGTACAAATGTTAATAAGTTGAAATTAATTATGATAATAGAGTGAGAACTATCAGTTGATGAGAAAGTAGAAATAAGCTCAGAAGTAGATAAATGCTTTAGTCAGATCAAAATTTATGTATCCTGCTTTAAAGTTATGGCTACAATATGAAATATATGTCTATCTTGCTATCTCAGTTTGAATTGTTATTTCAGCATCTCAGTTAGGATATAGAACACCACATCCACCACCACATGCTATGCCTGCTATAATGAGACCTTTACCACCTTCATCATTTACTACTTCAACTTCTAATCCTTATAATATGTAAGCTCTAAATGTTATGACACTCATGATTCTAGGCACAAAAATATATACTTCATTCATGGGGACTCATTAAATTATCCCTCAAGAAACAAGAGATAAAAGAAAGAAAAACATAACATCCATTTTAGGTCTATTTGGCTCCCTTCTATCTGCTGGTCATTCACTCTAGAGATTGATCTTCCCTATATTACCTGAAGAGCTAGTTCGACTGGGATGTTGAGGAAAGATGACTCGTCCAAGGTCACCAGACTTTCACATGCTGACCACGATTAAGACCCACAACCAAAATTTGTGGGTGGTTATTTGTTAGTGAATGCTAGAGATATGAGATATTTTTATTACAGGACAACCAGTCCACATAAAGTTGATTATGGTACTATGGTATTAACAGCAGAACAATCATTAGAAAGAAAGTGGAGGAAATATTTTGGGGGTAAGTATCATTATTTTTATATTTAAAAAATATTCTTCTTTTTGTTTTTTTTAGATATATGCCTAAGCCACCGTATCTTGTATTTGAATTTTTAATGGCTACTTCTACAATGACTTACTTTGTTTTTAGATAGGAGACCCTTGATAACATCACCTGCTAACAAATTGTCTTATGGTCATACTCCTGTTAGGTGAGTTCTGTTTTTCTCAATAATATCAATTTAATGTTATAGGCTACTGACTTTATATATAAGTAAGAAATTTCATAATTAATATTTTTGTGAGGCCAGTCAATTGTTGAATGTATAGAAGTTTGGATAGTTCATTTCTTACATCTATAGCTTAACTTTGTCTTGTGTTTGATTATTATGATTATGATACTCTGGTATATTAAGTATGGTGACAAGTCATATTTGTGACAATATTAACTGTTTTGACACAAAATACATGTGATAAATTTTATTGTAGGGAACAATTGAGAAATCACAGACTGAAACTGATGCAGTTTAATGACAAAACACCCAGCATGGCTAATTCTACAACTAAAGATAGACTACAGGAACATAGACAATGGTTACAGAAATTTCAACAAGATATTAACGCTAGCAGTTCATTTTTAAATCCACGAGGTCCAGCCTCTAATAATGATTCACTGTATCCTTATATTACAGCTTAGATATAGTAACATAGTGTATAGCATGTTTATAGTTGTCTCTTTCTAGACTAATATTTATACAACTACTCTTTAGTGCTTTATAGATTGACAAATTAATATTTTAGAACATGTTGTAAATTAGTTGTGGTGTTATAGTTCTTTTTGTAGAAATTTTAGCATTCAGCTAAATCTTGATAACGTTAAATAACCTCATTGGATTAAATTATGAATCTAATAATGTTAAGTCCTCATTTCTTTTTCATGTACACTTTCAATCCCTTCCAAAATTTTGATTATAAATTTATTTGTCTGAAACCAAAATAAAGGAGATTCAATTCACAATAGATGTGGAAGAAATGGTTTAAAACCCCAAATAATTCTGAGGGATAATAATGTTTTGCAAGAAAGACTTGGAATTTTTCATGGTTTTGTTTCTCAAGTCAAGGCAAAACCCTCCTGTGCATTTTTGACTTTATGTTTTGACTTTGGCTCAACTTGTAGAATTTGAATGTGTGTAGTGTTTAATTTAGTTCTAAGTATATCAGGTGTATCAATATATGTAGTTTGTAAATCTATCTTTTTTTTTTTTTTTTCTTGTAGTAGCTTTACATTTATTAATGTTCAATGTTCTCCTATTATTGTCTGACTGCATTTAACACGTTTTCATCAATCTTCCATCTAGCTTTATCGACTTTATATTTAATTAGTAATATATACATGTATTGTTGTTTTTCCTGGGATATCAAAAGTTATAAACCTACCGCTTTAATAGAATCAAAAAACAAAATCACTCTTCAAAATCAACCTCTCTTAGATCAAAGCTAAAAGTGAAAATATTCAAATCAGCTATGTGGACCCTCTAGAATTGGTGAACCTTTTTGTGTTCCAGAAGGTTGGACATGACATTATAATCTGGTCATTCATTTGGATTTTTTTGGAGTCAGACATGTTATTATTAAAGAGATTACACAGTTAAGAGATGATCTAATTTGAAAAGTTGTTATTTGTGATGCTCTAAACATTTTGATATCCCTTTGTATATTATTTTCTGTTTCACACTTTAAATCAAAATGTATCAGATCTAGAACAAGCTTGCTAACAATCTTATACATGGTTTCTATTGTTTGATTCCTTTAATATTGTGATCATGTATGCATTTTTCTGGTTTATTGTAGTTTATTATGCATGACTCTAGCTAAACACACTGTGTAATTTGAAAGAATGAGAACCTTAACTTGATGACAGTAATACCTCAATAGAACCTTTATCATCAACACCTACAAAACCTCACATTAAAACAACACCAAGACTTATATTAGATGATCACAATCAAATCAGAGTTCAACGACAATGAAAATTTCTTTATATCATGTCCTTGTAAAAGGATTTGCTTTACCAGTTGATCAATTTCAGCTATCCCCACGACATAAAAATCTCATTCTGAGAAGTGGCATAGATAACTGAAGTTCTAAACAATTTTTTGTCCTTCGATCTTGGAATTTCCATTGATATTGCCATTATTGGTAAGTTTGTCATAGTCAAGCAATATTTGTGCACTTTCAGGTCAGAATGAAAACATAAATTTGGGAAGTGTATGTGTCATCCAAAATATATGAATAAGATCTTAATGTGCACAAATATTTGCTCAACAATAAGAAATATCAGCCCATGCTTTAAAATAGCAACCGTTTCATAATATCTAGAAACCGTCCAGAATACGAGATATTTTTACCAAGTTATATTATATGTTTTGATAAACCTATTTATTGGTGCTTTTATTGTTCTTCCATTGTATATATTGTATATATATATATATATAATTATTCATGTAATATAACAGAACAATTTAAATCTGTAATGAGATTTACTAACATCTGTTCTTTATGAAAAGAAACAGTATGTTTTAGGATAAAGAATTCCTTTATTGTTTATTCATTCTTATCTTTCTTATCTAAAATTGTCTTTGTTTAAAAGGAATCAATAAAACCAAACAGTCCTCAGCAAGTTTGATCATTAGAAAAAATATTTTTTCGGACACCATTTGTAGAGTCTAAGGAATGGAACATTTGTCCTGAACTTTCCGAATCTATGCATCTGGTTAGGTCACTGAAAAATTTATTATTAGTTTTCAACATTAGCCAATACATTATCTGTGATATTTGTTGACATTTTGTATATATTTCTTGTATGATTATTTATGTATATTATATGTGGATGTTCAATCACAATTAGAAATCAAGAAATATATTTTAATTTACACCATAAAGTGTGTTTTGCTTTAATGTCAAGCAGTAGTAAGAATTGTCTTTTGAAATTAGACTATGCCATGCAAAATCTAAATTTATCTTATTACTGGCAATATCCATTATATACAAATGGGATAGGGAGCTGTGGTGGCTCAGTGAGTTAGACTCTCGCACGCTAACCTGAAGTACCAGGGTTCAATTCCAGCATAGATCGAGATGCCTTTTACAATCCGGCTTCCCCCATGTCAGTGATGTATAAAGCGTCTAGTTATTCTGATGGGACAATAGATCAAGGTCCCATGTGCTACAGATTATACCTCGAAATCGAAAAAGAGCAGGCAAATGACAGTCCTGGCAAAATTTCCCCATTGCACGGCGTTGCCAGTCTTCATTAGCCTACATGGTGCAGAGAAGTAGGATGCTTTTATTTAATGGGATAAAATTCCCAGTGTATAGGATACTCATAAGATAAGTTTATCTCAGGATTTATTTACTGAGATTTAAACAGTGAGCTGGATATGAGAAAATGGGTCACATAAACTCATTAAAAAGGAAACTTTAATATTCAACTCCAAGTGCAAACAAATTTAACATACAGGTGAAAAAACTAAAATGAAAATACAAATAATCGGTATTCATTTGGCTTCTTAAGGTTCAGAGTATTTGTGAGCTGATGAAAGTGAAAACTCTCAAATAATGAGCAATTGATGTAGATGTGGGTTTTGGTATGAAAACTGCATTGACAATTGGCACATTGTATAGTTTAAGTATGGAAAAATAACTTTGATGCATGTATGATATTAGCACTCTTCAATTTTCATAAATATTTGTCGATTCTTTTTATAATGAGATGAAAACAATGAGGTGGTCGGTAACAATTTCTTAGTTCCACAAACTTCATAAGATATCAGATGGTTGGTAGGCACTCGTTCATAATCACATTCAATAGTAGAGGTAAAATTACTTCGGGAAAATTTAGGACTGAGTTGATCATAGAGAGTGATTTTATATTTAATTTGAACTGGGAAGTCTATTTGTTCTTCATCCTCTCTATTGTGTATATAGGCAATAAGATAGGTATGAGATGAATTGAAGCCTAAAGATTGTGCATTGAAGGATAAGGCGAAGTTAATCTTATAACCAGGAGTACTGGTATAGACAAACGGTGATGTGATGTCCTCATCAGAATCTGATTCTGGTATTGTCCAGTGAACACATCCTCTTCTATTCTCATTCCTCGAACTATTTAAATATTGACTTTGTTCTTCTAATTTATACTTCTGAGAGAGCACAAGGCTGAAAATAGAAAAAAAAAGAACTCCATTACATTCAATGACACATCAGGTCTATCAAGAGCTTGGTGTACAAAATCTGTTATATGGTTGATATTGCGATAATCGGTACGAAGACAGTGATTCAAGAATGGTATCCGATTCTAATACAAGATACAATTGCTCAAAAATGATATACTCAAAAAATTACATCTAAGAAAATTTAAAGAAAGAATTTACATTTGTAATGGTTCCATTTCTTCACGTAATTTGGCAATTTCTCTCCTGCCTCCTGCCATCTGTTTATACATTTCCATACCACTTGATAATATTAATGAGAGATGTTCCTCCATGTTCTCACTATAATGGTTACTCATTAATCCACGACGATCCTAGATTTAAAAAAAATGTAAATGTTTTAGTGTGTTTTCAGCATATAGATCTATACAGCTATATAGGACTAATCTGGTCAAACGGTAAATTGCCATTCGTTTATGAATCGCTTTCGCGATTCCAGTTCTCAAACTTTCATCCTTGATGGTGAGAAAATGTGGGAATTATCTGTTTCAATCAATATCCGAAAACAATCTACCCTTACCATGAAATGACAGCCCACAGATTGGAAACAACACAATATGGTTGTATTGGGACAATCTCCTGTTTTAGTATCGACATGTGTTGGTATGTTCTCACGTAGAATACCAGTTTTACCACAAAGAGTACAGCTTACTGGAAACTTCTGACAAAATAGTAACTGATGCTTCTGTAAAAGACAAGTTTTTAGATCAGTGGTGATCCAGTTTAAAAACTTAGATACAGTCAGGGATATATCAAATGACACGCTCACGGAATACGTAAAGCGTAATCAAGTTTAGCATTACAGTCACTGCAAATGGTAAATCTAAAGGCTATGCTCTTGTAATTGGCAGTTTCTTTATCTCGTTACTGGAACTGAACACCCCAAATGATCTTCACTATTGGTTTCAGCTCTTAAGGGTGTGGTGAGTGTTTGGCTCACTAAACATTAGGCATGCAGGGCTGGATTTTGCTTAAATACCACAGATATGTATCTCGTAATAAGAAATGGTAAATAAAGATGTTTACCGTCATATCAACATGTATGATGTTCTCTTGACAATGAGCACAAATAGTTGGTCTTCTTGGACAAATATCAAGATGTTCAGATAGATTTAAATATAGTACCGAAGCTCCACATTGATGTGTACATTCTACTGGTCGATATATACATTCTTCAATATGTTCCTGAAATTAACCATAATTTGCCATAATGTTATGAATGCTGCGTACCTTTGGTGATTGTTTTAATTATTATTTGTACAATGTTCAGCCAAAACAACTGATCATAGTTGAAGTCATTTTTAAGATATGGTTAATTAAGGTGATACATCTGAGGTTTTGACATATTTATAGCACGCTTTGTTCATCGTCAAAATGGTCTCGCAACAGTCGACTCGGCAAATTACAGAACAGATACTAACCTCATAGTCTCTTAGTTCACCTTTCCACTCACATCCTTCATTGAAATAGTAACATTTCACTGCGAAAGACAGAATTTCTCTTCTTATTGCTATATCTTCAAACAGCTGAAATACAGAAATGATCAGTTATAATTTGAGACTGTTATAGTGCCTATGTTTTCTTTATTTATCTTCTAACGATCAGTTCAGTGGTTTCCTTTCGAAAGCTTGTGCTCGCTTTAAATTGAACTGGAATCGGGATTCAATTCTGTAAACTGGTTGAAAACTGGGTGGAAGACTGATTGCCTATCTTCATTTACCATCATCCAATAATATTCTAATTTCATAATTACCTGACCATCACAGTAGAACCAAGTGTTATCAACTGGACATCTTGCAGCTCGTCTTGTTCTAGAAAATAAATGTCGAGGTTGGAAGGGATATAAAATAGGAAAACGAATGTTTTGAAAATCGTGTGCAATACAATCTTTACCGCAACCACTTTTGGTGAAATAAGCTATAGTTGTGCGTGCACCGTAGGAAATATTCGAATTTCCAGCATTGTACATCTTTATCCTAATTAGATTCAGAAAATGGACTGTATTTCTCTATTTCAGATGTATCGTTGCTCGGGACGATGATTATGGAATCTACATCATTATCCAATTAGATATTGAAAATGGGATGTTAACCTCCATTTCAGATTGTATCGTGGCTCAGCACATTGATTAAAGCACCTACATCATTATCCCTATTAGATATTGAAAATTGGATGTTAACCCCCATTTCAGATTGTATCGTGACACAGGATATTAATTATAAAAGACTTACTTACCCTATAACGTTTGTAATACAGACTTCACAGAATCTATGACCGCAATGAGTCTGTACAGCATCTCTCAACACAGCTAAACATACAGGACAGGTATACTTCTTATCAACTTCAGGTTCAAAGATAGCATCATAGCCATGATTTCTATTTTCAGCCATTTCTAAATGTGAAAAGGTTTTTACCATTAAAAAACTGAACAGCATTCAATTGTTCGTGGTTTACAAAGTTGAACATAAAATGAATGAACTGAAAACCGATTCTTTCTTTGTAATTTTAACCAGGAAATTTAGTCCCTTAGAAGAAAGCGTCTTATTTCCTACCTTGAAATTTGCTGCTCTATCTTCGAGTCAGAGCTGTTATCAGAATGTGTCGAAAGAGCGAGGTGTGATTTAGTATTATACTAGTAGTTGAGTAGAGATTAACTATTGATTAAAATCAGGGTTCAAGCCAGGTTACCGCTTTCTATACTGATTGGTGTTAATGAGTACTTAATGTCGTAATCTCTGACTGCTGTTCAGTTGATATCTATTACGTTAGTTCTGCTAAATCAGCCGACTGAGGCATACTTCTAGTCAGACTTCGAGCACTTTTTACCCTGGTTATCTACCACAAATTATAAAATGGTGAACCATTCTTGACAAAAAAGCCCCAGTTCTCGAGAAAAGGGATACCATTTAATGTGCATGAGCATAATACCCTTGTTTCATTAGACCCAATGTTGGATCTTTGATTACCAAAAAAAAAAAAATCCAAACTGTAGTATATCATAAAGATAGATGACGTATTGTAATCACAGACAAACTCTATATAGATGATGTCTGTAGTAAATCATAAAGATAGATGATGTATTGTACTATCACAGACAAACTATATATAGATGATGTCTGTAGTAAATCATAAAGATAGATGATGTATTGTACTATCACCAAACTCTATATAGCTGATGCTGCGAAAGTGTACCACAAGCTTAAAGCTATCCTTCTCTTGAAGCACTCTTATAACTTATAATATGCAAGCTTGGAGACATTTTATGTCAATTGTTAAAGATAAAAGTCATATGTTTGAGATAAAAAGTTATTTTATTAAATATATAAATAATATTAAATATCACAGATCTTTAATAAATGCTAGATACGTAAAATAAGAAAATATAAGAATGTTACTGCTCTGCATAAAAGCACATATTTTCTTGGAGATATAATAATCTTCTTTCTTTATTCAAACCTTCATTTGTTTTATTATAAGGTATAATGACCACAGATTTCCCATTTTTGCTTTCAAATATATCAGTTTGGGTCTGAGAATGCATCATCTACCAGTATAAAAAAATCAAATGAATTTTTTTTGAGGTAAATGGAATGCATGGAGAACTAATTCAACTTAATGTCTTATCAACGGTTTGATACAAAAATGTCAAATAATGAGAAAAACTTTCAAAGGTGCAAGTCATAACAAATGAAAAACTCTAACATTTTGAACAGATAATATAACAATTTTAATATGTGTCAACATAATTACAAAAGATCTTAACAAACAAACAAAGTTGATTATTGTGATTTAATTTTCCCTAAAGTGTGCTTTAAAATCCAAATAATTGGGCAAAAAATTCTTAATTGGGTGGATCTGTGACATTATCAAATTCAAAATATCTGTCACACGATCATTATTCTTATCAAGATCATTATTCTTATCAACGTATATATTCAATGTCGGAGGGCAAAAGTTTCTTAGGAGCAGCTCAAATGCCTGAGCTCGTAATGAGAAGATAAGCCTTGGCATTACCTTTATCAGAATATCAGAATTTCTTGATTAATACAGACACTAAATCAACAACAAGAATACATGCAAAATGGCTGTCACAAGATTACATTTTCAATCATGGTCTGCTTCTAGCTTTAGCTAACCAAGCTGCTCTTTTTCTTTTTTCTTGTGTTTCTTCATCAGATGCTTTCTTGTCTTTATAGTTATTCTTGATTATGTTCACGATCTCTTGTTCTTGTTCGTTGGTACGTAACTCAAATTTAACACTGGTACGAAGTGGATCGTTAAAGGGACTAACTTTACCAATGGCAGGAGATCCTGATGATGAAGCTACACAGTTTTCACCCTGACGCTTTTTCTTCAGCTGTTCTATTTTATCTTTCACATCTTGTGAATACATCAACATTGGTACAATGCTTGCTGTTTCACTGGTCTGTGATTTCATTTCCTGTTTTCTTTGTCGTGCAGAATTCATACCAGGAAGAGCTGGCGCTATGGAAGGTGGTATAGAACCTAATGAGGTAGCTCTACTCCTCATAGGAGCAGTAATTGGTCTTTGGCTTAATGTTTTAACAAATTCAGGAGAGACTGGTAATTTCTGCATAACAGCAGCAGATAAAGGGCGAATAACTCTACCACGCGGGAGAGTTGATTTGATATGTTTTGGATGAAGTGATTGAGACTTTTTAGTTTTGATTGGTGTTGCTACACATCTTACTGAATACACTTCTTTTTCTGGAGGTGGTAATGGTTTACTTGGTTCTTTGGTTCTCAATGATCTAATGGATTTTAAATCAGAGATTTCAGACATGGATTCTCCATCTTCAGAAAAAGCCTTCAGATATTCTAATCCTAATTCTTCAATGGGAACTTTAGTTTTAGGATCTATTTTACCTGGTGATGAAGATGGTCTGTTGGTTTTAATAAAAATTGGTTGGGACTGTTCTTTAAGATTTGTAGTAGTATTGGTATTAGTTTCTGAATGACTCATAGTTCTCTGTATTGAATTGACAGTTAAATAAATAAAATCTGGAGGAATAATATTCTCAGTCTTCATTCTAATTTGAGACCTCAACAGGGCCTTCATTTCAGAAAGAGAAATATCTTTGACCGAAGGCAATAATGGCTTATCAAAGGCCCATGATACTCTTCTTTCTATATGTATAGGAGTTCTGATTTCTAATTCATCTGGTTGTTGAACAGGAGGATCCATAATCTTAACAGAAGATGGTTGAGATTTAACAGTATTAGGTCTACTGCAAGATCTTGAGCGAGTTCGTTTAACTGGAGAGATAGGTGCTGAATGAGGGGCACTCGGTGGAGGTGATGTCATCTGAACCTCTTTACCATGCCATGTAACACCAACATCACTCTTCTTACCCTCTGTTCCACCAGTCCACAGACGACTTTCAAAAGTAGCTTCACCAGAACGACTGGATTGGATTTTTCTAGCACTTTCTAAACTTCTTGCACTCAATGTCTTGGCACTATGTAATATTTGTGGTGCAGGATAATCAGACTGTAGCCATGGTTGAGTAAAAGTATTATTTTGACTAAGTTTCCCGTCATGATCAATAATTTTAGAATTAGTAGCTCCTGCCTTCTTCATTCTCATAGCTCTAACATAAGCATATGATTGTGGTCTTATTGGAGCATCAGAATAAGATCCATATTGAGCTAATGGTGGCACAGCATCTGTTTCTAAGGTATAATCCCATTCCACTTTCTCAAAATTCAATACCAGTAAATTTCTACTTGTGTTCAAAGTAATTCTGAAAAAACGAAAACAATTGAAAATGGGACAAATATAAGGAAATTGACAAATATAAAGTAAAATAATTGTTAGCATAAATGTGAAAAAAAAAAAAAGAATTTACAGTTTTCATATTATGTTAGTTTGATTAACAAGGAATGCTTTAGACTGGTTCTATGTTCCCCTCGCACAAAAAACTGATATTTGTAATTTTGCCATACTTAATATGTACAAGTGGCTAATACTTGAAGAAGAGATTGTGATATTGAATAAAATATAATAATTACCTATCACCATTAGTGATAATAGATAAAATAGGATCACTACGGCTATTTCCTCTCATTATACGACAACATTGTCCTGTTATTAAATTCCAGATTCTTAGTCTACCATCTGCTGATCCTGTTATAACTCTTAAATACATAAACTCTATACATAATACTTCCCTGAAACATACAATAAAACATTGTTAAATATCATCAGATTACAATTACATCACCTTTTTCATTGAGATTTATATTAGGCTTCAGTGGCATTTCTCTTCTCTTGCAAATGGCAATTCTATTCTATCCATATAGAGATTGCAATGACAAAAGTATAAGGAGTTTTAAATAATCTGATCAATATAACATATCTGACACTATACAAATATATTTATATCCTGGATATTTACTCTTCTAAAGAATATGAAATCTCCATAGATATTTCAAGAACTTACTTGGGATGACGTAGAGCTGTGAGACATCTAGAATGATCACCTAATGAACTCCATGCTAATACATAACCATCTCTACTACCAGATACTATATGCCACCTATCAAACTTGATATCAACTACAGGTCCATGATGTCCTATTAATGTCTACAAATTACAGATAAACATATAAATATTTTAATAATGTTAAAGACTAAACAGACTTATGTACAGTGATCATTTAAAAAGGCAAAATCCTAAAGAAGGCAAGGAAAAAGGAAGTATTCAGGCTCATGATAAATAGTAATTCTTGTTAAGCACACCTTTTTACTTCATGATGGAATTAATATCCCAATAATAATGTATTTTGTTATATTGTAGAATTGTACAAATTTGATCACAAAACAGTATTAGTAGAAATGAGAAATAAGAATAACAATATACCTTGACCAAGTTACCAGTTTCTAAATTCCACACTCTAATCTTTCCTGATTCACACCCAGTTATACATAGTCCTTTAGATAATGCTAAACTACAGGCAGAACTTCGATGTCTAAAAGTTTGTTGACATTTACCAGTTGTTACATTCCAAACTGTAAATAAGATGGACATAATGATAATTAGAAGGTTTTTATTATTTATAAAAAAAGACATATGTGTAACTTACAACTTTCTCAACCTCTTCAATGATTATCATCTAATTGATGATAAGTTAAATACACCAATTAATTCTCCTTAAAGGGATGATAACCCTACTGCTCCATAACACAGTATCATCATTTTGATTGAGCCTAAATAAAAAAGATCAAGAAAGCAGAGACACTTACTCTTACAGGCACCATCTTTACCACAAGAGGCCATAACATCACCTAATACTATAATAGCATTGACAGTATCTCGATGTCCACGAAATATCTTTAAACAATGTCCAGTTTCTATAGACCATAACCTACCATATAATATCAGAAATCATACATAATTATATCATACAATCATTCTTCAATTACAACAACATCACAAATCAGGTATCATCCGATTCACATTATTTCTGAGGTGAAGTAAGAACTAATGATTTTCTCCCAGTATGTTAATGATGAAACAAATTTTCTTCAATTTCCATCCATAAGATTTCAATGCAAATTAGGCACTGCATATCATATCTTTGACAGTGAGAACAGCTTACCTAATACTAGTATCATAGCTACCACTCAATACAAATCCCTTGTCTTCACAAATAAATACACATCTTATAGATCCTGCATGTCCTGTTATCAATGGTCCCTTCTCTTTACCAGATACAGCATCTAGAAATCGGACTTTTCTATCTTTAGATCCTGTAGCTATTAAATTACCACCATCAGTATGTAGAACTCTATTGATATCAACCCTACAAAATGAAAAAAAATGTGAAAATTTCAGGTTTCAAGTGAAGTAAATACAAATGTGTTGAAATTTGAAAATTTACAAGGGAGAAAGACTATTTTGAATATTCTGAATGTCAATTTGTAATGGGACAACAGATTAGTTTAATATAATTTCAATGAAGGCAGTCATAAAAATACCTTGCAAGAGATTTCTTACCCTGCAAGGAAGTATCTGAAAGTTACAATAATTTGTTATGTGTACATAAAATAAAGAGATATGTGGACCTCAGGATAATAATACTCACTGATCTTTTAAAACCATAACATTGTAAGCTCCACAATATACATTTCTTTCTTCTAATATAACATTTCTAGTAGATACACCATTATAAGCTGTATCAAAATTAACATCATTACGGAAGTGTGTTTTTAATACTGTATCATTATTAGTATAGATGACACTATTAGATCCCGGATGTAAATTGGGTACAGGTACATCAATATCATTAGCAAATACTGGATTGGCACATTGTGCAGCTGCTCCCTGAAATATAAGTAAAATACTTAACATATTACAGATCTTATATAATTCAAGATTTGAACAGAACTTTATTTACTAATGCATACGTATTCACGAATTTCAATTTGAAATATATTTAATCTACAGAATAAAGATATGGCTATCTAGGATATAGGCCTTTGCCATATGTATTACTGGTACATCAAGCATAGTGTCACCAAAATGACTAAAGTTATGTCAAGTTCAATAGGCCTAGACTCAATAAAAAGCTTTGATAATGTCATAGAATACTTTCAGGGTAAACATAAGAGTTTTTATGTTCTAGGAGTGGTTGTGAATTTCTCAGTCCAAATTTACCTCATTGCACACTGCAAATGTAGGATATATAACAATAAATTGAGATTGAGAAAACCACACAGCATAAGGTAAAATTTTGGTTTAATTGGAATCAATAGTTTGTCACTAATATTGTTTGTAGGTTAATCCAATGGGTTACCTGGTGAATTTTAAAGAAAGTTATTATTATACAGATTACATTTTGATATGAAGATATTCAATAGGTATTGTTTAGATCAAGTGTCTGTATATACCTACAATAATACCCTCAACTTAAAGATCAATTTGAATAATACAACCAAACAAATATGCTTTTATCTGTAATAATACTTCAGAAATTACAATAAATGCGGCAAAAAACACTGCCACCAAAGACCTCTGATTTTATGCTGAAATGATTTAATGTATTGTTGTGTTTCAGTCTAATTAAAATTAGACCAAACTTTCCTTCCTTTTTTTATTATGCCACTTTGTTAAGAGTCTTCTTGAACATTGGCTTGATTTATGACACTGCCAGCCAATCAAATTCCTGTCCTCTCCAGCGATGGGATTTTGTGACGCAAACAAAAGGTGTATTCTGAGAAGCATGAGACACTAAATGCACCTCCTGTTTGCATTGCTGTGCAGTTGAAAATGAGAAAGAAAATATGTCAATTTGAACTCTATCTTTAAATCTTCACATATAAAGTTATATGCTTTATCAGTAGGAAGTAAAAAAAGATATATAAGTTTACATATCTATTTTACAGTTTATTTTGGACATTAAATCAATATGTCCTTGTCTGTTCAAACAAATAATTTAAAAAAAAATTAAATTATATAGGGTATGCAAATTAAATATAATTTATTTATTTGATTAAATTATTTGGTAGTCAAGTAACTGGATTAATAAGATTAGCGAAGCAATAAATTTTTTATAATAAGAAGTAAGTCTATTGAACCACAATAAACTTAAGCCTATATAAAGAGATTTTATACATCAAATAAGATTACTAAAAGGCTTGTGACAAACAGGTCATAACACCCAGGAAAAGCCATAATCTAATCTTAAAACTTATCTGATTATTGATTCTTTACTGATTCATATAAATGATAATAGATCTTTTAATTTCATTAGATATATCAGCAAATTCTTTCAAACTCTTTTAAATTAATTAAATATAATATCAAATTTAAGAGGACACCTTAACTCAGCAAGTGGCTCAATTTTGTGACCTGGACACAACCTGAACCTCAATGAATCAGGTGCTTTCTCAGAGCCCATATTGGTTTCATGTTAATGTACCCTTGATAGTTTAACCTGGATAGAGAATCCTCATTGGTCTTTTATTTCTTGGAGTAAGCTTATTTTGTTGTATTTTAAATGGATAAATATTAACCAGTTGTTAAAGTTTAGATTTATAGTCTGATTCTCCTGCAATTCAATAAAAAAAGGACCACTTTCAGCCTGTCATTCACATTCTCCAGAACATTTAATGATGGATGACATTAACATAATATCTAGAGAGAACTGTCATAATGACCAGTAAGTGATAAAACTGAACTTTCATTATAGAAAGCTTCTTACAGATGATTTGGATTTGATCTTAATTCCTACAAAGCTATGGACAGCTGAAAATGGTTCTAACAGCTTAGACAGCACAGGAAAATTCAGTTAATCTATAGGCTAATTAGACTTTATATCACTATGAAGTAAAGGTTTCCTACTAAAATTTGACAGTTTTTTTCCCTTACTCTTTTCTGTATATCAGCCTTAAATTTCTGTACTGAAAAAGCAATAAATTATCTTTGTATTCAAAATCTCTCAATCTTGAGATTGTTTATTGATTGTTTGATCTCCACACTGATTGAGATGCTAATTATATCAATAATTAATTACAATAGACACTTTCTAATTTATCTCTCAGCCTTCATTTCTCATATTTACCATGCAATGTGTTATATCTGTTTGTTCATACCATACTTTTATCAGTAAAGTGTTCAAAATGCCATTCTCAAAGGCACTGGTTTAACGAATTCAATTGCCATAAAGGATATATATACTATCAGGTAATCTTAATTTGATATTCAGTCCTAGTATTCTAAGATGTACATACTTCACTATTTCTCAATTTAGAAAATAGTTTCAAAAATAATTTTCATTATTGTGGACAAGAAAACTAATATTAAAGTGAAGGTCTGAATAATTTAAACTGTAGAATTGGGCTTATTATGGTGTAATTATGTCTTTTAACCCTTTTTATAGTTTCTAACAGGAGGCCAGCAAGGATTTTTTAGCATTAAATTTGAGGGTTTACAATTAAAACACACATAAGCTTTTCATTAAAATGGTCTAGTGTAATTATTGATACACTGACTGTTTATAAAATGTTATTGTTAATGTAATCTAAGCTGAAATCTTGGTAGGAGGTAAACTGATATAATAATATTGTTTGTTTTATATCTTTATCCAATGAAACTTGAATAATTGTCTTATGTTTGATATTAGTCACAACCTGTATAAACATAACAACTATTGTTTGAGTCATATTTTTATAGACCTCTTTTACAATAGACCCTTTTCTGCTTAAAAGTGTCAAAAACATAGATTTGTTTTACCAATTATTAAGAGAAAAATATTGGCATGACATGACCAATCTTATTTGAGCTGGAACACCATAAAAGATAGTAATATAGAACTGGTTGGTAAACTTAGCAGAGGCCGGAATCAAATTTGAAACTGTATTTATTTATAAATTTGAACTATTCTTAAACATAGATGTAGATTTGCTTATATGATTTTGAGATTGAAAAAGAAAAAAATACAAACCTGCATTAACATAACTTCTTCAATTAACTGTTGATTAACATAATGTTCTTGATGTACTTCTTCTGCCAAGTTTCTCCAATTATCACTAACACATAGAGCATTAGTTAAACTTGATCGATCCAAAAAACTTAAAATATACTTGGCTAGATGAACTGGTAGCGATCTAATAAAATCCTTATACCTAGCTACTCCAGAATAAGCTTTGGATCCAGTTGGAATGATCATACAGGCTGGATCAATACTACTTATACTGTCACTAATAATCTCATCATTATTATCTTCTCTTATATTTAATTCTAGACTGTCACCAGTAAAAGGATCAATATGGATTTGACTATAGCCAGGACATGTTTGTGTTAATAATGATAATTCAGGATGATTAATTGTATCATAAGAATATTCACTACTATGAACAGATCCTGCTTCCGTATAAAATGATCCTGAAATACAGATAAAAATACATTTTAAGATTCATGTCTCCTTAAAATATCTTTAAGTTTCTCTTTTTTGAATTTTTTTTTTTTGTCCCTTTAGAGAAAAGAAATAGATTAAAGAAACTAGAGTGAGGAAATGTTTTATGACGACCAGAAATTTTCTACTAAAACTTAACTCTTGCAATAAATGAAGCTAACATTCGAAAATTAAGAATGCTTACCTGGTTTTGCCGATAATGCTCTTTCTTCAGAAACTAATAAAGTTTGTGCTTGTGATGACAAAATAAATAGTAAATGGCTACCACAAAGTTGCAATATATTCATAGCAAAATTTGCTTTGGTCCAATAATTGGCTTCTGTAAACCAATCCCATGTTGAAGAGAGGTAGTATTCTACTGCTGTAGATGTTAATGCATGATCTGAACTCAAGGTAGCTAAGTCTGTATCAAGTCCTGGATGGGTTCTTGTCCGTGCGTATGTATAGTCTTTATTCATTAAAGGTTGTAATAAATTAACAAGTTGAGTCAATAAATCCACACTATGTATTCTTCTTAATAGTCCTAACATAAAACGTCTTTGTGAATGGTCACCAAGTCTCAGAAACCAAGATTTGACAAAACTAATTCTGCTATTTAAAGAACATGTTTCACAATTTCCACATTTTTCTGCACTTTCACACTTTAAATTGCTCACTCTTCCCAAATTAAATTCAAATGTTTCTAAATTAACAGGTGGATGTTTCATGGCATCACCACCACATTCAGATAAATAATTACAAATTTCCATCATCTTGGGTACTTCTGGTCTGGAAAAAAAATATATAAACAAGTTCTATTCAGGATAGACTGCTTTCCTTTTCAGTTAAAATATAATTTAAAGAATCAACTTTCCTTTCAAATTTTATATTTTCCTTATCAAATATTGAGCTTTTCAAACTCTTTAAATCAATTTTAGATTAATAAACATAATAATAATTAATTGTCAAATAATATAACACTAGGGCCTACCAACCTTGATTTCAAATTTTTGATAATTATAATTTATAAATTTATCAAGGATCTATCCTGACAGGTGCTATCAGCATTTCTTCACTTATTTAATCCAGCAAATCACTACATCTCTTGTATGATACACATTTTGTCTCATTTTCATTCAATAACATCACTGAAATTATCAAACAATCATCAGACATTAATAAATAATCTGTAAAATTTCACACTCCATTTGCGGACTGTGATCAACTACTACCTAACTCACGTGACTAAGAGATAAAGGTGGATATCGGCCATAATTTGTCCCCAAGGTGATAATCGTTTTGTTTGACAGGTACGTGTATACAAATATGACTGTGCACGAGTAATGTCCCTTTGCTTTCTTTGGAAAAATTCAAATAAAAAAACCCCTAGATCTATGCAATTTTTTACCAAATAAACCTTGCCATATGAAATATTTATGGGCATTTGAAGAGCTCTTTCCAATAAAACTGTTGGAAAGAATTTGACTGACTTTTCATGTCATGTAATGCATTAACTAAAAAAATAACCCAAAATGTTAAAATTCGTCTGCTACCGGAAGTGCTCGTTTAGCCCCTACAATAGCGAGTTCCTAGCAACAAAATCCCCGGATGTTGATTACAAACATGGAGGACAGAGAACAAAACGTCTTTTACTTTTGTAGCTAAAGGACCAAGTTTCTGTCATCATGGCATGAATCCGTCCACTTCTTCAATATTCTAGTTCAGCTAAAACTTTCACTTTTATTAGAACTCGGCGAACTTGCTCATCGTTAAGATGGCTTTAGAACGCGCTAAGGTGAGCAGAAAAATTTAATTGTAACTTTTCAGGATTTTTTACAATTTTTAGTTTATTTTAAAAAAAAAAAAAAAAAGAGCCAGTCGTTATTTTAGATGAGATTTGTTTCATTTCAAATAGCACTTCAAGTAGATTTAAGTTTATTACCAAGTCTAAGCTAGATATCACTTATCCATTTGAAATGATTTGTAAATGTAATCACATGGCTCTGGAGTCTGGTAATAATAATGGGCTACACAAACAAGTAGATTTATTTAAATACTTTAAAAATGGAATTTGATGATAAAATTGATGAAACTACATTCTCTCTTTCATTGTAATTTCAGATGATGACTACCCCTTTACAAAGTAGTAGTAAATCTCGAGGTTTACCTGGTCTACCAGCTTTACCAAGCACAGTTAAAGAGCCATCAGATCTTTATCAAGTAAGAGTTCTTCAAATAAAATTTTCAAGATCTTATGGTCTTACCAGGATAATGACAATATTTTTCTTTCTTCAATTCACATCTTGGAGTTATATAGCCCGTTTGGTGCTGATGCTCCTAAATGCATTTCATTTCATTTCAAGTCACATCTTAATGAAAGCTTAGAAAAAAATAAGTGATACAAATGAAATTTACATTGAAACACATAATGATGTTTATAATACTTTTACACTGACATATTGTTTTGATTATTTGATTTATTATAAAACTTTTAGACATTCATTGCCAATGCATATGATTTAAAGCAAACAAATTTGTGCTTTCAGATTGTGTTACGCAACAGTCAGCATCCACCATTGATGAAAGGTACCTCATGGACATTAGCTGCACCATTTAAAGAAGAAAAATATCACAGAACTCCAAGTGAATCAATAGCTAATAATTATACACCCTCTGCCAGTACACTTAAATTAAGAGACCTTCCTAAAATATATAGAAATAAAGCTAAAAGTAAGTTGTTTCTTTTGTTTCTCTTTACAATTTATTCTTTCTTAATGGGACAGGTTGCCATTTTTTTCCACCAATCATACTTTAGTCTTAGAAACGGAATTTTTAGCTAAGCCAAACAGTTATTGTGTTCAAAGCTCACCGTCGTGCCTTCAAATCCACGATTGAATGTTAAAATGACGACTCTTCAATTTAAGATACTCTGTGATATATATAGAAAATGACGTATATTGGAAAACTTAGTAAAATTCTTAGTTCAAAATATTTTTAAAGGAATTATACAATTTTTGTACATTTCTAGTACGGTACTTCTAATGATATATTCAAGATTAAAATCAACCCCCCCAAAAAGGCACACCTGTCTCTTTAATCAAAATAAAAGCCAACAGTATCTTATCAGAATAATATGTTTCATTTTGTCATTATCCTTCTTTGTATTTTATTAAAATTTTACAACCGTATTGATACATTCTGTTGATTTTCAGGACCCACAAATTTGCCCCCATTAGGTAATGTGTCATGATATGAAATCATGTTATATATGTAGCTTATTTTTACTTATTAATGCTAATCACAGGTTATTATAACAAACTTCATGTGTTTTATAACATTGTTAATCCTAATCTTATTACTATTAGTCAATAAGATTATCTTTTAATACATTAAACAGTTAATTCTAATACTAATACACATTTTATAAATACCGCTCTACAATTGATGTATTGAGCACTATTTTAACATTGAAAATATTTTATTGTAGTAAGCTTACATAAATTATGATTTAACTAAAAATTTAATCAATATGCTCCAAAAACTTAACATACTTAGTAGATATACTGGAGCAAATATCAAAGCCTAGATCTGCTTCAAGAAGACATGCAGTTTGTTTTAAAGAAATAGACATGACAAATAGATAATGCTGTAATTCAGTTTGAGCTTTAATTAATGAAGTGCACTCTGCTTATTATTTTTCTCTTACAACATTGGAACATGAATGGAACCATTCTCCAGTTCTAACCATTGTCTGAGGCAAACAATATTGTTAAAGAAAGTGTTTAAAGATAAGAAACATGTGAATATCATCAAACTGAAATACTGTTTAGATGAATGAATAATTAATATCAAGGATGATAATTTATAAGATAAATCACCCGATAACGAACTAGATCTAAAGATAAAGATAATGCTCGTTTTTTATGCTTTAATTTTAATTCCAGAAGAATCTAGAAGTCCAAGAGGACCAACTGTTAGCCCATCTAAAAAAAGAAGGAAGGATGGGTCACCTGAGAGAAAGTCTGAACAAAAGTCTTCAAATGGGTAAGAATCCAATCACTCTGTGGTGAAATTTTGGGATGAGATTGGAATTACTTGAAAGCCTTTTTCGTTCCTTTTATCTTTCTAATAGTGATATGTGGTATATCTGATGTCTATTTTTCACTATGTTAGTGTGAAGTCTTGGTATTCATCTAACCAATTGTTTGAATTGTTCCTTGTAGATGGATTGGTACTAGGTCATCTCCTCTACCAGATATTGAAGAGTTACCACCCAGTAGACCACTTACACCTACAGAACAGATAGATATTATGTTACAAGCAGAAACAGAGCTGTTAGAAAAAACTGGTTCAGCTTCTGACAGAGATTTAGAGGTAGACTATAAATATTGGCTTTATCAGCTGATAAAAAATTAATTTCAGCTACTGGTATATGTAACTTACCAAAATTAAGATATGACATCCCCTTCTTCAATTCAAGGATGTCATTAACTGTCTCATGCAGATATTCAGTTTTAACAGTTGATGCTATCATTGCTGTCAATTTAGCAACTATGCTGCTTGAGTGTTTGCTATAGAAAAGTATAAACACACATATCTTGAGGCATTTCAGCTTTTATTCATTCTGACTTGGACATGTCCTCTTTATTTACTACTGTATTGATATTGCAGAGATATTACTACTATATTGAGAAAGGAATTAATAAGGAAATGTTGGCACCACCTCAACCAGGGCAATTAAAAGAAATAGAAAATTTAGTTCCACAAGCCTTATTAGAGAATCCTGAATTAGAGGACATTCATACTGAATTAATAGAAGAAATACATGAAGATCATAGACAAAGTATAAGAAAATCTATTGGTGAGTATCTCTTTTATAGACATCTAATAACCTGATATGAGCTTACATTTTTCTGTCCATGACCACGGTTTATTTAATACAGAATTATTCATTAAACAAGTTCATGAAAGGTATTTGCAGAATCTAAAGGCAAGATTAAACTATTTAAATGAATAATTTTCTCTGAGCATATTCTCTATTTATGGACTGTATTTATCCTGACCACATTTTTAGCAAAATAACACTACATACTAGATATTCTTCTTATTTGGTAGTGAAATATTTCAATCTTTTATGTACTTGTTTGATTTATTCTTATTTTAGTTGATTATATACTGAAAGATCCTGAAGAAAAGGAGAGATTATTTATTGCCTGGACACCTAAACCATTTCCACAGAGACTGATAAGAGCTCCAGTCCCATGGCATGATATGTATCAAAGAATGAAAAGTTATAACGGAACTTATTTGTTTATAACTAATCCTATAATGTTAGCTTTACAAAATGTTTGGTTTGATAAGTAAGTAATTTGATCAAATTATTGGGGTCTAAAAACCAATAAATTTATGAAATAATAAGTATGATATGTATAAATGTTCAAATCCATCTGAAAGTCATATAGAATATATTCTGTGACAAATGCTCTATTTAAATGTTTGACTTATTGAATGACTACAGTACTGCAGTATCTTGGAGAGCTTGCTTGTATGTTTAACTTAAAAAATATTTTTCCAGGTTTGCTCATCAGAGATTTGTCAATCTAAAAGAATTACTGAATGCTGATTTACCATTATTACCCTCAGAATTTGAATCTTTAGTTAAAAAACAATGTTGGGAAGCCCATGAAGTTTTACGAAAAGAGTAAGTTTGTTAAATTGCATTTTAGAATTACTTAAGATATTTAAAAAAAAAGCCATGTAACATTTACTGGGTTACATTAACAAAAAAAAACCCAAAAATATACTTATAAAGTTTAACATGAACAAATTTGTAAACTTATGAACTGTTTCAATAAGACAATTTTTTTGTTTTTTTTTTCCATAGATGGGTGCCAACGTGTGCCAAGTTGTTCATTGATATGAAAGATACATGGGAATATTTAGTTCCACAGAATGAAGTTGATTCCACTGAACTAGTAGCAGAATTCTTCTCATGTGTAGCAGCTTTAATGTCCATACAATTACGAAGTATGGTTATTAATTCACTGGCTGATTTCTTAGCATTCTTCCAAATACATGAGGTAAGGATCCTACATTTATATTTGACAACAATATATAATTTTGCTGGTTTATTGAATAATTTGAAAAGTTTTGTTTTAAACACTAGATCCTCTTCTATTGTCAGCCAAATTCCACAAAATATTGAACTGTAGGTGAAGAGACTGTCACATTCTTGAAACAGGTAGAAACTTATTCTTTTACATAAAATATTTGACTATCTTTATAGGCTGGTAATGATTTTGGTGAAGAGTTTGATGAATTGAAGTTTGTGATGAAACAAGTCATGATTATAAAACTAAGGGTACAGGATCCGAAGATATTATTTGATCCCCTATTCCGTGATATTAGAGATATCATATTACGATGTTTTACAGAAATTATAGCCAGTGCTGAAGGACTTTCAAGGGTAAGTTTATTAAGAAAAATTCCCATTCCTATAGATAGTTGATAATGTTAATCATTAGGTGCTGTGAGTTTGAATCCTTTGTCAAAAAAATAAAAAGATTTGATGTTTGGCTAATACTTTTGACAATTGTCTTCTGTAAGCAATGTTTCGTAACATTTACCTATCATGGTCATATTTACACTATTTTGCAAAAATATCACATCCCCTAAATTTCAATGATAAATTACTACTATTAGTATAATATTTCTATTACATCTAGGTTGAATGTGAATTGTTCCCTGATATGAGAAACCAGAAATTACATTTAAGATCTGTTAAACTAGAAGAAACATTAGTTACTGATTTTATTGATAAAGCTATGGAAATATTTAAAGATAACACAGTTGGACCTCAGAAGTAAGTTTTACCTTGCATGCTGCAGTGGGTCTCTGAATTAGGTGCTAACATGGAGATAATAATATAGACTGAAATGTTGGATATAATTTGATATGACTCTTTGGCAGATTCATTACCAATTTGATTATTTTATTATACAGATACCTGAATACATACAAGAAATATTCTGATTTATTAAATAACAAAGCTGAACAAGATGTATCTAGTTTTCTAAAAGAGAGACATTCTATTCAAGCTTTTAAACAGGTTGGTATTTTAAACTTTGTTGGAAAAAAGAAAAATATTAGGAATGATTTGAGTCAAATGGATCACATTTTCAGGTAGTCTGTAGGTTTCTGTGTTTACTTATGAAAATTTTTTTATTGTAGAAAATCAACAGTTTACAAGATTTAAAGAATGAAATAGCTTTATTAAGAATAACTGTACCATTGAGTATGTTCTGTCTGGATTGTGTACAATTAAACCAAGAATTATGTCTACGAGCTCAGAATCTGAGAGAAAAATTGATTACATTTGAAGTGGATGAAAATAGAGACTTAAATAGGGGGTAAGATTTGAAATTTAAGATGTACATGTAATATTTTATATTGTGATTGAACCAAATCAAATTAAAGCAATGTTCCATATCTTTTAAATGGCAGCTCAAAATGTAAAAAGCCTTTTTGGTATCTGCTATTTAAATAGATAGGTTTTATAAAAGTTAGCAGCTCTTGCTGGTTAGAATACCAATTACAAGGAAGTATGGGGGTAAAGGAATGTCCACATTTTTTTAATTATTTTAGAATTTGTCGTCGTTATGATGAAATGACTGATAAAGTCAGTGAAATGCCTGATACAACACAAGAGATAGTCGAAACTCAGGAATTCTTGAAAGCTGTGAGTAATTACATAATGTTCTGTTGATTTATACTGGGAAATTCAACACTTCAAGAGAATTTCAGTGTCTAGTGTTAATTAGAAAATATAATAGAATGCCAAACCAATACAGAAATGAGAATATGCTTTGAAAGTTTCAAAGTTAAAAATTACCTGTACTCACTTTGTTTGTATGGAAATGTTATGAGAATATCTGGTTTATGAATGACTAACTATTGTGATTGTATGTTTAGTCTATGGAAGTAACAGTATACAAGTTAAAAGATGAAATAGATGAAGCTGCCAATAGATTAATGTTTTTATTAGATTATGCCATCTTCCCTTGTAAGTATTGTTAAGTACTGTATAATTGGGAATATACCCTGGAGTATATCTGATAATGTATTCACCACTGTAAATACTACACTTCAACAGAATATGATACAGGCTCTGGAAACAACATGTTGTGATCCATCTTAGAAATGTATAATATAAAAGAGATATGATCTAAATGCAAACAATCTGTCTGTAGCTTATTTCTCAAAACTCACTACTGTTCCAGGGATAGTATCCTCAAGATGAACCATTCTCTATCATTGTCATTGATTTCTATTCATAGTTGAAGATATCAAATTAAACAGTACAGTATTCCACTGGCCAGAACATATTCGTACAGTGTTTGAGTTAAATCAGTCTAGAATATTAAATAAGAGAGATCATATTGAAGATGAATTAAGGAAAAAGGTGTCAGTGTTTGAAAATCGTCTAGCTGAATATATGTCTAAAGTGGAATCTTACAAGAAGAAAGAGGTAAATTTCGCTAATTATTGCTAGATTTCTCAGGGTTACAGAATTGATATTAAATTGCAAGTATGATCTGTCCAAAATAACTTCCATCCCAGTATACTTCCTCCAGACTTGCTGTGGAATTTGTTTTGAAAAAAAAATCCTTCTTTGTTGACATTAGATGTGTTTGAATTTTTGCTTTGTTTCTAAGCTGAAGATCCAAAGTAGTATTCAAAGCTTTTCCAATAGAACAGTGCTTACTTCTTTGAATGGTGTAAGCACAAAAATAAAACAGAATTTTTCATTTCTCATATTGCATCTTGCTTTTTTCTGATTCATTCAGGAAATATTGTCTAAACAAGATTATTCATTCATCTTTATTTTGTTTTATAGATAATGAGTTCAGATGAAATGAAGAATAACTGTGAAAATTTAAAACATCTACATGAATGTTTGGAGGCTGCTAGAGATGAATTACAAGCTATTAATGAAGAAGAGAGATTATTAGAATGGGAACAAAGTTCATTTCCTGATTTACAACTAATGTTTACTATGAAAGAACCGTATGAAAAACTATGGACAACTGCTTATTCTTTTCATCAGAAACATGAACTATGGATGAACGGTAAGTGACACTTAATGTTTTTTGTTCAAAGAAAGGATTTAATGTTTTGATGTTAATCAAACTTATATCTCTTTTTGAAAATAACCAAGCAAAAGTTATGTGAAAAGTTTGTGAAAGCTGCAACAAAGCAACTGTGTCAATAAATTAACAGGTCTAATTGATAAATTTTTGATAAAAGCTGTAAATTATGCATATATTTACAAGAATTTGGGTTTTGCTCTATAAAAGTCCAAAAAGATAATGGCAAGAGAGGAATCATATTATTATGTAATTTTATTTCAAATTCTTTGCGTGTTATCTTTTGAAGATTTATATCAGTTTGGCTTTGGTAATTTCCAGGAGCTTTCCAAGAATTAAATGCTGAAGATATAGAAAATGAAGTTGGTGATATGTGGAGAACAATGTATAAGTTAACTAAAACATTTGGTGATCAGGCTGGCCCTAGACGTATAGCTGATAGTGTGAAAGGAAAGATTGATAAATTTAAACAACATATGCCTATATTACAAACTATTTGTAATCCTGGTATTAGAGATAGACATTGGGATATGGTGAGTAACTATCTGGTTCAACTTGTTTTAAAGTTATGATTAACTGGAATTGCAAAAAGATAAGAACTAGAGCCACACGTGGCACAGAGTGGGACTTTGCAAATGTAGCAAAATGCAAAAGACTCTGAAAAAATCAACCTTCTACAATAATTACATCACGCGCAAGAGCTGTCTAAAGTTGAGAAGAATTCTTTGGAAGATTGTTATAACGGAAGTAGACAGACTGCACAAATGAAAGTATCAGAAGATAGCCAAGGTCAATAACATTTGACATTGAAAGGGAGACGGTCAACAAAGGTCAAGGTTATGAGATACAAGTCATCAAAATTTTTAAATATATACGGCTATAAAACCGGAAGTTGAGATAGGACAGCAAATATAAAAGTATAAATAGATAGCCAATGTGAATGACCTTTGATCCTACAAAAATCAGGGTCAAAAAAGGTCAAGGTCAAAAATTGAAAATTTTGAATTTTCAAAAGCTGTTCCTTTTTTTGAACTATAAAGCTGAAACAATCGAACTTCTAAGACAACGTGGCTCAACGGATGAAGTAATTGTATGCAAAGTTCCATTTTGAACGAATGTATACGTTGCGAGTTATGTCCATTGCCACAATTGTCAATAATGAGTAATTTAACCCGAATGTGCTAGGCCCACCTCAATTTCTTGTGCATAGGTTAATTGATATTCTGAATGTTATGTTGTGTTCCAAATTTAAAGCTTCTACATCATACAGGTCAAAAGATATAGGTCAACAAGAGTCAATAAAGGTCAAAATAGAAAATTGAAAATATGGAAATTTCAAAACCCGTTCCCTTTTTGGAAATCTAAAATTAAAAATATTGAAATTCTAAAACCCGTTCCCTTTTTCGAACTATACAGTCGAATCATCTGAGATTTTGATATAATTGGGCTAAAGTAATGAGGTAAGTGTGTGCAAAAGGATTTTCCGAAAAATTGTACTGTATATATATTTTTTCCAGACAACAAAATGTAAACAAAATGAAAATTTAACCCGGATGTGCCACGCCCTCATCAATTTTTTCAAGGTTTCCAAGATTGCAAAATTTAAAAATTTAAAATTTTGCATTACAATACATTGTGATATATCGTTGGAAAGAGCTCATAAAGCCCATTCAGAATATGCAAAAATGAACTCTCTAGGTTAATTAGGTCACCTGTAGGGGCAGTACAAAGTTGCGAATTTGGCTATTTTCGGACAGCTATAAAACCTGAAGTAGATGTCGGAGGTCAAATTTCAAAGTATGATCTGATAGCCAAGGTCAATGACCTTTGACCTACTAAAGGTCAAGGTCATCAAAGGTCAAGGTCACGAGATACAAGCCTTCAAAAATTGAAAAAAATTCGACCGGAAGTTGCAAAAGTCAAATTAAAAAATCCATTCGCAACATTTTTGTCGCCATCGACTAAAGTATACACCAACATAAAAATTTGACCAATCCCATTCTCCCCCGAAGCCCCATTTTGAGTTTTATGAAAAAGTATCAAATCAAGATGGCGGCCAAAGTATTTTTTTCGGACTAAATTTTATTTTAAAATCGGCCATAGAATTACGATTAATAACGATATACATAATTTCGTTGAAATATTTCAATCACACCGGAAGTTATTCAACCGGAAGTGAAAAGCGATTTTCCACTTTAACCGGAAGTGACGCAAAAATTTTGAATACATCAAATGGTTTTCATTAGTGACATGCATCTTTTATCAAAATTTCAGATTAATCCGAAAAAAACTGAAAAATGGTCCAAAAATTTTGAAAATCGGCCAAAAAATGTATGCTATGAATTTTCGAAATTTGAAATTTGTTAACTCATATCACATCGGAATTTAGTCACAGATTCCAAAAATGAAAACCCGAGCAAAATCGGCCCAAAAATGTGGCTTTCAGGGTCAAAAAACCCGTTTTTGCTCAGGTTGCAATGTGCAATTTGCATTTTTGCAAAAATTTTCCAATTTATATTTAAAAAGTAGGTCGCCATGATGCGACGTCAGAACATATTTCAGAAATGTTGCAGCTAGCATAGTTTAGGCTGTGTGCCCTGTGGAAAAATCGAAAAAAAAAAAAAAAAAGAATAGACATTTCGAAAAACAAACTGGGACTTTGCGGTAGCAAAGTCCTACAATTAGCCTTTTATCGTTATGTTGAAATTCTTCATGCTTACTTTGCTCAATGGCCTCAAGTCCTAATATTGAAAAGTTAACCCTCATTGTTAAACTAGTTTACCTAATGAAGATTTTATATCTGAAACAGACATCAGCAGTATATGATGAGAGCACCAACATATATGATATTTTTGATCATTTCAGATGAGTGATATTGTTGGTTTTAATATTAAACCTGAAGGTGATATTTCACTATCTAAAATGTTAGAATATGGTTTAAATAAACATCTTGCTAGGTAAGTTATTATCTCTTTTACAATATGAGAATTGTCCAGTGGTATGATTTTAGAAAAAAATATTTTCAAAATAGCTTTATTAAAGTTAAGAATGTTGAAAAAATATAACTATATTGATTGTAGATTAGAGGAAATCGGTGCTGCAGCAGCTAAAGAATACTCACTTGAGAAAGCACTAGAAAAGATGAAATTTGAATGGAAAGATTTAGTATTTGATATGATTCCATATAGAGATACTGTAAGTACATTTTTTTGTATTAAGTGTAAGAGACCATACCATATAACTTATAATGAATGAAATTTTTACAAAAAAAACTTATTGACACTCAAAAATAGACAAAAAATAATGTCAATATAAAGATGTAATTTTGCTGAAATCAGATTCCCTAATTATTCAAAATCTTATCTTTATACCATCTAATTTACAGGGTGTGAGTATTTTATCATCAGTTGATGAAATTCAACTATTACTAGATGACCATATTGTTAAAGCTCAGACTATGAGAGGTTCACCATTTATTAAACCATTTGAAGCTGAAATGAAAGAATGGGAAGAGAAATTAGTTTTGATGCAGGATATCATTGATGAATGGTTGAAGGTAGGTACAGATTTCTATTTTATTTAAATATCATTTGCAATTTCCCCATCTTCATTAGATCCTTGTCCAAAGTTAAAAACTATGAACTGCTCATGACAGAGAAGGCCAAATAGAATAGGAAAGAAACATTTAATCTTTCTAAGATGAAACCTTCTTGCCTGCAACAATATGAATTTTATAAGAATTAAGATTGCATTCTGAAACACATCTATTTCAAATGGCATGGAACTTGTCTTAAATTTCATTGAATTTCCAATATGAAATCTAATTTATATTGTATTTTTTCAGTGTCAAGCTACATGGTTATATTTAGAACCTATCTTTAGTTCAGAAGATATTATGGCTCAGATGCCTGAAGAAGGTCGTAAATTTGGTATAGTTGACAGTTATTGGAGAGATATCATGACTGAGTCTATTAAAGATACTCATTGTCTGGCTGCTACAGCACAGGCTAATATGGTGGGCAGATTGAGAGAAGCTAATGTGCTGCTAGAAGAGATTCAGAAAGGATTAAATGCCTATTTGGAGAAAAAGAGATTATACTTTCCAAGGTTGGTAATTTTGATTTTTTGTGGAAGAAAGAAAAAAAACAACAACTTAGGTTCACTTTAGATCCTTTCTACCAACTGGTCCTTGACCAAACTTCTTGTCATCGATCTTACCTGGATTATCCATACATGTGAATTTTCACCTTTGAAGCTGATGTTATCATTTTTTCTTCCTTGACACATTGAAATTTACAATCTGAATGTTTTATTTACTTTTTCAGATTTTTCTTCTTGTCTAATGATGAGTTATTAGAAATACTGTCAGAAACTAAAGATCCTACACGTGTACAGCCACATTTAAAGAAATGTTTTGAAGGTATACATAAACTAGAATTTACTGAACAACAAGAAATAGTAGGAATGATATCCTCAGAAAATGAAACTGTACCTTTCAGTACTAAGATATATCCTGCTAAAGCTAAGGTATGTGTGAAATTTAAAACTATATTTTGTTGTGAATGTTTAGCCACATTGGCGAAGGCAGTTGAGGTTTAGAACTTAAACTTTGGGGTTCAATCAAGATTTTGAAAATTGATTTTTTTTGTAGATGTGTTGTTGGTAAAATGTCACTCATTGTACATTGCGTGTTATTGTCATTTCCCATTATCTTCTTAAGACACTGAAGAGAAGCCATTTTATTTTTTTTTACTGTGTACATTATAGGGTATGGTAGAGAAATGGTTATTACAAGTAGAAGATGTTATGATGAGTTCTATAAGAAAAGTTATATTAGAATCAGTAAAAGCCTATAAAGAAACCCCACGTAAACGTTGGGTTATAGAATGGCCAGGACAAGTTACGTTAGCTGTTAGTACTATTTATTGGACATCAGAGGTTACTGAAGCTATGAAAGAACCTAATGGCATGAATGTAAGTTTCTCAGTCTTTTCATTATATTTTGAAAATTTCGACATTTTATTTTTTAGATCATTTTGAGAAAAATAATTTTCTAAATGGTTTTGAATAAATTTGCAATACATTATTGTGTGTGGTATACAGTGGTGTAACCTATTTTTGTGGATATAAGGATTCAACACCGAATTTCGTCAAAGTTAAAAAAACGAAAAAAAAATTTTATGCCTTAGATGTTTCCTCAGATATTCTACAAAATGATTAAAATTGGTTTATTTCGATTTTCTTTATGAATCAATATTTGACCAATATTTCATGAGCAACCAACTCGGCAATGGCGGCAGAATGCCACACTTATTTTCGGGTACAATGTTTGATCTATAAATAAGTCTAGAAAAACACGTTGTATGGATACCGGGTTGTATAATTAACTTCTCTTAGTATTTATCTTTAACATCAATTCATTATAATTAGTGACAATTCCTTCAAAGAACCATGATTTTTAACAAAAATAGTGACTGACAAAATAAGATACGTAGCGTGATTTATTGCTAAAAGTCACTGAAACAACATAAGAATATGGTCCACTTTGTGGTAATAAGTGAAATCCGCCATTTTGTATTTGTCAAAGTATACATTAATACATTTTACCTTGCTTGAAACTACTGGATTCATTCTACTAGCTGATATTGTAGAGAAAGCCCATGTTTATCAAAACAAACTAATGCGGAGGTCGCGCAAGGTCGCTCATGTAAATTGTTAATCATTTCCGGAAATCCACGAATAATAGGTTTCCACGAAATTAGGTTACTTGACTGTACCACTGTTTCTGCTTTTTATAAATCTTTGTTTCCTGATTGGAATATAACCTTATTGTACCCTGTAATAAAAATGTGTATATTATTTAATAGGAATATCTACAGAAGAGTAATAAACAGATAGAAGAAATAGTAGAATTAGTACGTGGTAAATTAGAAGGTGGAGCTAGAACATCACTTGGTGCCTTAACTGTAGTTGATGTCCATGGTAGGTTTTCAGTAACTCTTTTTTCTACTTGACTAAAGCTTGGAATTGCTCTGCTCTAAACGATTCAGTTAAATACTGAATATTTCTGGAATCTTGGCAGTAACTTAACATTACCTGGTAGAAACATTAGCCATTACTCAAATTTTTTGTTACTTTCAGCTCGAGATGTGGTAGCCATTTTAGCCAAGAATAAGATCAGAAGTGCCAACGATTTTGATTGGTTAGCTCAGTTACGATATTATTGGGAAGATGATGTTATTGTAAGAATGATAACTACTGATATCAATTATGGTTATGAATATCTTGGTAACACTCCTCGCTTGGTCATTACACCACTTACTGATAGATGTTATAGGTAAGTCTCTTAATGACATTATTACCTCATCAGAAGGAATGTGTTTTGCTTTGACTTACAGATCATATACATAATGTCATTTTATTGGATTTTGATTTGAAATATATTTTCAGAACATTGATGGGAGCTTTGAAATTGAATCTTGGTGGTGCTCCAGAAGGTCCAGCTGGTACTGGTAAAACAGAAACATGTAAAGATTTAGCTAAAGCTGTAGCCAAACAGGTAAACAGAACTTCTGTTACATCTTATGACATGTATATTGGATGTTCTCATTTGCAGAACAACAACCAATGATAATTTCCCAAAATCTATTTGTGAGTACAACAAATATCAATGTACTTAGATAAGTGATATCAGAAAGGAGAAACAGTAATGTCTTTTAGAATTAAATGCTCTCATTAACATGAAAGTTACTATGTCTGACATGCTATTTTGTCAGCCATGAAATATTCATCAATCTAAGCTAATATGAAATTTGATATCTTTTTCAGTGTGTGGTATTTAACTGTTCAGATGGTTTAGATTTTAAAGCTATGGGTAAATTCTTTAAAGGTTTAGCACAAGCTGGTGCCTGGGCCTGTTTTGATGAGTTTAATCGTATTGAGTTAGAAGTATTATCTGTAGTAGCTCAACAGATCCATACTATACAACAGGCTATAGCTGGCAAGATGAAGAGATTTATATTTGAAGGAACTGAATTATCTCTCAATCCTACTTGTACTATGTTTATTACTATGAACCCTGGTTATGCTGGTCGACAAGAATTACCTGATAATCTGAAGGTTGGTGTGAATTTCTTCAATATCTTTTATTTTGAAGACTTCTACAGATGTAATCTGTAAGGGAATGAACACTGTTATAACATTTAATATATAATTTTTAAGGCTTTATTGCTAAGCTGATCCAGGAGTTTTGTTGAAATTCATAGTAGAATGTGTAAAATACATACAAAAAGGTATGAAAGGGGTTGATTTCTTCAAGGATATCTCTTCTATTCCAGGTATTGTTCCGTACAGTGGCTATGATGGTACCAGATTATGGTCTAATTGGTGAAATTGTCTTATATTCTATGGGTTTTGTTGATGCTAGGAGGTATGTGCCTGTTTATTTTAAAACGATTGATATGACAATAACCCTTTGATAATACTACGAAAAAGCTTCTTAACCTAACAGACTGTGCTTGAAAAAGATCCTTTGACCGTTTCTAATGTGAAATTAAGAAGAGTAATTTGTCGTCAATAATAAGCAGAAGGGGGGAAAATGAAACTTGGAATTGATTGTCATTGTGTCCATTATCATGTGACTGCTTTTCAACAGGCCTGCATAGCTTCTATATTCTTCTACAATGTTATAAATTCATTATGTTATTTGATTTCAGTTTATCTAATAAGATTGTAGCTACATATAAACTATGTTCTGAATTGTTGTCCTCACAACATCATTATGATTATGGTATGAGAGCTGTGAAATCTGTATTAACTGCTGCTGGTAACCTCAAATTGAAATATCCAGAACAAGATGAAGCTGTCTTATTATTGAAAGCTATTAGTGATGTTAATTTACCCAAGTTTTTATCACAGGTTAGTAGATTTGCAGAACTTTACACACAATTCACTAGCTTTGGCCTCAGACATTTTTCTATCTTTAATCCTAAACGTGTAAGAGACTTTCTTCTTCATACATTTTATCATACTGGGTTATCTTAGCAACTTATTTTCATAATTATTATTATTTTTTTTTATAAAATCCTACAAAAATTACCTACTTCGGATTAAGTTTTTAATTACAACTACAAAGTTTGGCATTGTCATAATTGTGAAAATTCCTATAATAAAAAAGATAATAATATTGTTTTTTTCTATCTCTAATATATTGTATTTTACAGGATGTTCCATTATTTGAAGGAATTATATCAGATTTATTCCCTGGTATAGAATTACCTTCACCAGATTACGGTGTGTTTATGGAATCACTGAGAGAAAATATAGTCAAACGTAAACTTCAAACTGTCCCTTGGTTTGAAGATAAAATTATTCAGGTTAGTGAGAGTTGAAATAATGGTTCAAAAAAGTGTCAGTTTTTCTGGCAAAAAAACAAAAACTACTAGCAGTTGTCAATGTATTCAGATTAATTATTTTAGTAACACAAAAAATGCATTGTGTATTTCTGGTAATTAAACTGAAACTGAACATCCAATCTTTTTTTTTCACAGATTTTTCTTTACTTGAGTTTCTGGGATCATTATCTTTTTATTTTATATAATCGTAAAATCAATTCATTTTTTAGATTTATGAGATGATACTGGTTCGCCATGGTCTTATGATTGTTGGTGAGCCACTCGGTGGAAAGACTCAAGCTTACCAAGCCTTAGCTGATACTCTAGGTGATTTGTGTGCGGCTGGTCTTTTCAACGAGTTTAGAGTACAATATAGAATACTCAACCCTAAAGCTATTACTATGGGACAGTTGTATGGCTGTTTTGATCCTGTTTCTCATGAATGGTCGGATGGTAAGTGTCTTGCAAGTTTTAACCTTATAGCTGATAAATATATATATAGAATTTGAAAATCTGCAAAGTTATCCCCCTTTAGTCTTCAAGGTTTTGGTAGAGTTATGTCCCTTTATTTATGTGCTGTCTTCCAAATTGTAGGTGTTTTGGCTAACACATTCAGAGAATATGCTAGTAATCCTAATGAAGATAGGAAATGGATTTTATTTGATGGACCTGTAGATGCTGTGTGGATTGAAAACATGAATACTGTCTTAGATGATAATAAAAAGGTATCAATGTTAACTTTTTGAAAAATTGTAAATTTGTTTATTTAGTTGATGTGTTTAGTGTCAGCAGGCTTGATTGTTCTTGGTTTTAGTACATGAAATTAGAATTTTGACATATTGAAACACTATTTGTTAGTTCAAGGATTGTGCATCAAATATTTTGGAATGTTACTTTGATAAGCATGTTGGTGGATAGGAACTTTTTTTTACTCTATTTATTGTTCAACATTTTAATGTTAATATATATTTTATTTGTAGCTGTGTTTAATGAGTGGTGAAATTATACAGATGAGTAATACAATGAACTTAATCTTTGAACCAGCAGATTTAGAACAAGCATCCCCTGCCACAGTTAGTCGCTGTGGTATGATCTATATGGAACCTCATCAGATGGGCTGGAAACCATTAAAAGATTCCTACATGCAACATGAGCTGCCTAAAAATTTGAGTGAAGAGCATGTAGAATTGGTCACAGATCTCTTTGAATGGCTGATAGATCCATGTCTAGAATTTATACGTACAAAATGTAAAACATTGATCAACACATCAAACATGCATTTAGTTCAGTCTCATATGCGTCTGTATACATGTTTAATGGATGAAATTATAGCAGCCATCAATCAAAAGACTGAAGAGGGAGAGGAAGGAGGTGAAGGTCATTCAGAAGCTCTGAGCAGTCAACAGGTAGGTTTGATACCTTGTCATATGAATAAAAATGTCTATTTCGATTTTCAGGAAACTTTCACTAAATTTGGGGATGCCAAGAACATGAGCCTACTTTTGAAATGAGCAAATGTGAATAAGATAGAATAGCATAGAATGATTTGACTTTTCAGCAGCAAGAAGGTCCATATCTTTAAAAAGATTTGTAATCTATCTTTCATTGTTATTTTCAGATATTTCTGTGGTTACAAGGGTTATTTATCTTCTCATTGATCTGGACTATCGGAGCTACTATAACTGGTGAAAGTAGAAAACAGTTTGATGTATTTTTCCGTAATTTGATTGGTGGAACTAATGCTGATCATCCAAAACCCAAGAGTATCAAATTAACAAAGGTATATTCTTCATCTAGATCTGAAAACTAATTTTAATTGACAATGATACATAAAACAAAACATTTTGAAGATTTGAGTAAAGCTTTTTAACCTGGAAGATTAACTTTGTTCAACTGAAAACATGTCAAACAGGGATGCATTTGTCTTTTTCTATCGTTATAATACCAAAAACAAAACTACTATTGACTAAACTTATGTTCAATCAAATTTTTTGTTGACAGATAGAATTACATATTATTTTATACTATTTATTTAGAGTAACTCTATACCAGAAAAGGGAAGTATTTATGACTATTGTTTTGAGAAGAAATCAAGTGGAACTTGGACAGATTGGATGGATACTGTACCTAAAGGTTCTATGGGTATTGCTGCTAATGCTAAAGTATGTACTTGTCCATTCTAATATAATATGAATGTCAGTTTGAAAAGCTTTCAACTTGCACCAATTATGAGTTCATATGAAAAAGATGACATCATGTTGATATTGAATAAATTGTAGGTAGGAGGTGGTCAAGTTCAAGCACAGTATTTTATTATTATTTCCCATAGTATGGATTTAATACTAAAGTTTATTAATTCTGTTATTGCAGGTCAGTGATTTGATTATCACCACTATGGAAACATTAAGACAGACTTATTTTCTACAGACCTATTTATCACATGAAGTGCCTATTTTATTTGTTGGTCCTACTGGTACTGGTAAATCAGCTATAACTAACAACCATTTACTCAAATTACCAAAAGATTTGTAAGTTTTCATCATCTCTTATTATACTCTCCAGAATTTTTTTTATATCAATTGTTTACATAATAGTTACTCTCAAAGATATAAGCAGGATTGTAACTGAATTGAACAGAAAAGTGTGCCTATCTCCAAGCAGAAAACACTATCACCTAATTAACCATGATATGATCCAGTGAAACTGTATTCGTACCTTCTTTTCAGGTATGTACCAAACTGTATCAATTTCTCAGCTCGTACGTCTGCTAATCAAACACAAGATATAGTCATGTCAAAATTAGATAGGTAAGTTTCACCTTTTTTTCGTCACATACTCTTAGTAGGTCCTTGGTAAGAACCGCCTCTTGTCTCCAATGATTTATTTGTAACTTATTTTTTAACAGGTCAGTTCGGATGCTGTAGTGTGATGACTTTGATTTTACATTACATTACATTTTCTAATGCTTAGACTACAGAACTGCTTAAAATATCAATTGACATTGAAAATTGCTTGCTTGATCATGGAAGTAATTTAAACATTTAGCTTAATATTTATAGGAGAAGGAAGGGTGTTTATGGTCCTCCCATGGGTAAGAAATCAGTGGTATTTGTGGATGATTTAAATATGCCAGCTAAAGAGAAATATGGAGCCCAACCTCCAATAGAATTATTAAGACAGTGGATAGATCATGGACATTGGTATGATAGAAAAGATACATCAAAGGTTTTCCTTACTGATGTGGTTAGTATTTTATCATTTATTGTTCTATTGTGTCTTGAAATACTAAGAGTATTGAAAGTAGTCTCCCTTGGGAGAGCTGTTGAGAAGGCCTGACTAAAAGTGAAAATCGGAAATTGAAATCTATGCCTCATGAAAACATCAGTGGAAACTAAACTGTGGCATTCTTAATTCAAAAATTCATCAGAGTATCAAACTAAAAGAAAAAGAGATACCTCATAGTTATGATGCCCAATTTCTATGTTGATGTTTTTTCCAGATATTTGTATCAGCTATGGGTCCACCAGGTGGCGGTAGAAATGATATTACTGGTAGATTTACTCGTCATTTAAATATTCTATCTATTGATGAGTTTGATGATGCGACTATGACTCGTATCTTTACTACTATTACTGACTGGCATTTCGCACGAGGTTTTGATCCTGCTTTTACTAAAAATGGAAAGGTAAGATAAATATCCTTTTATATGATACAGTTTTCTCTAGGGTTCCCTCAATTTCATATCTATGATAAATTTATTTCTCTTAGACAATAAATAGGAGATTGACATGAATGCAAAAATTAACTTAAGGTATAAGGAAGATGTCAATATTTCTTCTTATTAAGGTTTGGTCCTCAACCATGTATTTGATCAAAAACACTATATCAATCTGATCTCAGAAAATTAAGTTAATAAAATGATAGATCATTATTTTATGTATAATCACTCAATGTTTCTAAGGAGCTGGAGATCGTGTTACAAAGAAGTAAAGTAAGATCCAAATCACTTGGTCTGCAGATAACTTCTGATAGTCACATAGTTATCACATGTCATGTACCACAATTCTCACAGTGATATGCCACATTTTTATTCATAATATGATAGTTTGTTTTGATAGAATTTAAAAAAAAACAACAATTAGCTATAAAATACCAAAGCTATTATGTTTTTATGGATTCTTGATTTCTTCCATTCATTTTCACTTTACAACCACATTTCTCTATTTCTATCTTCTTACTTTAGGAGACTGAGGTATGCCATTTGAGTTGCGTTTAAAACAGTTCAGAGTTTAGACCTTTTATTTTCTTTTGTTGAGTTTTTTTTTATGTTCATTATTTCTGTAGTTTTGGAACTTTGCATTTTTATTCACATTGCCAGTGACTAATCGTATTTAAGAATCTTAAGTGGATTTCATGTTTCCCTGTTTTAAAGCATTATGAACAAAGATATGTTCATCATCAAATTAAATCAGTATAATATTTCATATCCCCTCTACAGTATTATCAAACCCCATCTAAGATATTTGTTAACTCCCTTTTATTTAAACCCCCTTCAAAAACAAAGAAAAGGAAAATCTGGAATATAGCAGCTGAACAGTTCAAAGCAAAAGTCAAATATGACAATTGAAGTGGTTACACTGAGTTATCATTATTCTGTAATATTTGACTGAAACTTAGTTTGTGTTATTTTATAGTTATTAGTACAAGCTACAATGGCTGTTTATAAAGAAGCTGTAGAGAAGTTTCTACCAACACCAAGTAAAAGTCACTATGTATTTAATTTACGTGATTTCTCACGTGTAATACGAGGTGTACTGTTGGTACCGTCAACTAATCTGACTGAAATGGAGAAACTAGTTAGATTATGGATACATGAAGTATATAGAGTGTTCTATGATAGATTGATAGATGATGAAGATAGGTGAGGGCACAATTTACTCAGTGTCAGTGTTCAATTCCCTGTATCAACTGTATATTTGATGTTCATTTCACCATACATGTGGATACATGAGCCATTAAGAAATCTTTAGAAATTCCAAAATGTTTTACTGTTGCATGTTGCTTATTTGGATATTATAGACTTTAGTCATGGCACTTATGCTATTTTGCTAGATCATGAAATCAGAGTAGTGACAATCAAAAATAGGGAACATGCTAGAATCATCACATAGGTGATTATATGATTATATTATGATTATACAGTTTGAGTCAAGTGAAAAATCCAGCCAATTTTTGAAATTGATAGAGGAAAGGATGATTTATTCTAGACATCTTTGAAATATTTCCAAATTTAAAACAAACTGCCTGTCATTATCCATCTTCAGTGGATAAAAAAAACTCTTAGAAAACTTAATAACTTATTCCTTTTCCTCTTTTCTTATACAGGCTAACATTCTTCAATATGGTGAAAGAGATGTGTCAGACTCATTTTAAGTTAAGCATAGATAAAGTACTCGGTCATTTATCAAAAAGTGGTAATGTTGTAGATGACAATATTAGAAGTTTATTTTTTGGTGATTATATGAATGCTGAGACTAAAATCTATGATGAAGTTATTGACTTGAAAGAGTTGACTTCAATGATAGAACAGTAAGTTTATGAACTATGAAATAAAAAATAACTAGTTTTAGCTGAATGATGTTTATTTTGTAGATGCAATAGTCCAACTGATTAAAGGATGAAAATATGACTTGTTATATTTCATGTATTTCTTTCTGGGCTAGGAGAAAGTATTCAGGTACATCTAAGGACAAATCCTGACAGTAGACTTTATATTAAAGTAATTTAATGGTTATGATCACATTATTGGATGGAAAAGCTATAAAGTACTGTTTTTCCCCTCACAAAATGTAAACATTGACTTAGTATTTATTTCAAAAGTGTGTGATGCAGACCTTATATAAAATTTCATTCTACTTTTAATTTCAGCTATCTAGAAGAATATAATACTATGAGTAAAGCACCAATGAGATTAGTAATGTTTAAGTTTGCTATAGAACATGTATCTAGAGTTAGTCGTGTATTAAAACAAGATAATGGACATGCTCTCTTAGTTGGTAAGTAGAGACCACCTGTTAGACCAATAACTGAAAAGAGAATACTCTTCATGGAAACTAACATATATCTTTGACACAAAGAAATCTTGAAGCCGCTCCATTCGCTTGACATGCAAAGCTTTTAAAGCATTGATCTTAATGGCTCAAGGCTTTTTCATGTCAGCTCGAATTAAACTGACTAACTCTAAGATGTTGAGTCTCCCCACCTGTTCATTCAAACCTCTTTCTATGAGGTAGTATATTATGAAAGCCATTTTTTTCATTTTTTAAGGTATTGGAGGCAGTGGTAGACAGAGTGCTGCTAAATTAGCATCATTTATGGCCGATTATGATTTGTTCCAAATTGAAATTACCAAGAATTATTCTGTCAGTGATTGGAGAGAAGATCTGAAAAAGGTGAATTTTTTTCAAATTTCAAGCGTAATTTATGGGTTTATGTTAAAACTTAGATCACTATCCATTGTGTGCAATCCATTACTACTACCATGAATAGAAGCAACTGAAACTTTTAGAAAATCATATCGCAAATTCCATTTATTTATTTTTAGCTATTGATAAAAGCTGGTACAGAAGGAAAACCAACAGTATTTTTATTCTCTGATAATCAAATTAAAGATGAATCATTTATGGAAGATATTAGTATGATATTAAATACTGGAGATGTACCCAATATCTTTGCTGCTGATGAGAAGGCTGAAATTATTGAAAAAATGCAGAACGTTGCTCGAAATGAGGTAAGGGAGAATAAATTGCGAAAATATATTTAAATTCCAGTATTACACCAAGGAATGAGTGGCTCAAATTGTGTTTTATTTGAGAGCGACTAAGGAGAAAATTTTGACTATATACAACTTTCATACTTTAGGTCCTGCTTGCTTATGAATATTAACCATTTGTTTTATAAAGATTTATTTCTTGATGTAAATGTCCTTAGAAATATCTATTGTAGGAGAAGGAAAAGTGTAAATCTATGTTTTATAAAAAGGTAAACTAAGGTCAATGAAAAATGACAAATAGAAAATGCATGACAATGATAGTGTCACTTAATTTCTTAACTCACAAACTTTTCTCTTAGATATCAAATTTGCATATCAACTGTAGAATATGGAACTTCACTCAATGTCTCATTTTGCATGTTTACCAATATGTCAACTGAAATTTTAGCTGTAAAAATGCACTATTTAAGGTTTAAATATGTTCAGCCAATTGTAGGACTAGCAACAATCAAACTGTAGCTAGTTAAATGTTTGGAACAGATTATATTTTTTCCCTAAATAAATCACATCAGTTTAGTAAACAATAGAAAATGTTGGATACATCTACAGTATGTGAACATAAATGAATAAATGTGTTTTGGAAACATGATCTATGTGTATTTTAGAAAATGTTGTGTATTTTTTACGGACTACTGTTTGAGTAAAGTCTCGCAAAAGTTAAAAAAAAAAAAGTCATAATTATCATTTTTGGTGAAATAATTTATGATTTCAGGCTAAAAAGATAGATGCTACGCCATTAGCTATGTATAACTTTTTCATTGAGCGGGTCAAACAGAATTTACATATAGTATTAGCTATGAGTCCTATTGGTGATGCCTTCAGAAACAGATTGAGAATGTTTCCATCTCTGATTAACTGCTGTACTATAGATTGGTTCCAGGTAATCCTGTTTTCTTTGATACTTCACACTGTGAATCTTTGAATCAGGTGCTTCCTTATTTTCAGAGATGCAGAATCAAAGTGTGATTGGCATGAAATGTAGGACTTTCAAGGTAGTCACTTGTCAGTCAGGCAGGATGAATAGAATGAAATGCAAATAGTTTCTTGTTGTTTAAATGGAAAAATAAACTGAGGATCAAAATGATGGATGTAAAAAAGATCTTATAGAGCTGGTGGAAAATATAATTTATGTGTTGCCACTGTTTCTTGAGGATTTTTTTTAACAAATGATGACTTATTTTAGGCCTGGCCAGAAGATGCCTTGGAAATGGTAGCTAATAAATTTTTAGAAGATGTAGAATTAGAAGACAATGTTAGAATTGAAACAGTTGTAATGGTCAGATATTTCCATGAAAGTGTTAGAAGACTTTCAGAAAGGTAAGATTTATTCTGACAACCATTCTATCTTTTGTCAAAATGTCATTAGAAGATATATATGACCGGGTTTGAAAACCTAGTTTGGGTTGACATCTTTCTTTCTCTACATTGTTAAACAGTCACAGTCAATGTAGATTGGGCCATCTTGCTTTTCAAGTTGGAAACAGTAAGCTGTTTGTTTTCTGCCAAAATGCTGACATTAAGAAAAAATATTTGTTTATAGGTATATGGATATGTTAAGAAGACATAATTATGTAACACCAACATCATATTTAGAATTAATTATGACCTTTAAAAATCTCCTGGGTAAAAAACAAAATGAGATTACCACCATGAAAAATAGATATATAACTGGTCTAGAGAAATTAGAGTTTGCTGCATCCCAAGTTTCTATTATGCAACAAGAATTAACAGATTTACAACCAGAACTGATTAAAACATCAGCAGACACAGAAAAATTAATGATAAAAATAGAACAGGATACTGTAGAAGTGGAGGCCAAGAAAGAGGTATGTGGGTATTGTATTAAGGAAAGACAATGAAACAGAGTCATGTTTCTCTATATTTTACAAGGATAACATCGATTGAAATTATAAGTGAAGATGACTTTTTCAATGTCAACAGAATTTTGCACACCGTTTGAGATCAGAACTCATACCTGCCATTTGCCCGACGTAACCATGCAAATGACATCATGTTAAGAGCCAACGCCCTAACTGACTATGCTATAGAACAAAAGTTGTTGAAGATTGTTTGTGTCATTATTCAAATGGTTTGTTACAGGTCGTAGCAGCTGATGAAGCAGTAGCCAATGAAGCAGCTGCAGAAGCTCAAGCTATTAAAGATGAATGTGAGGGTGATTTAGCTGAAGCTATACCAGCTCTTGAAGCTGCTATTTCTGCCTTGAATACTCTCAAACCTGCTGATATTACTATGGTCAAATCTATGAAGGTAAGGCATCACGTCACATTCTCATAGTTTCTGCTACATTTTTCACTTTCATTTTTGAGGCTTTTGAAACATAAATGGCTTAGCAACATTTGTTTGCCTTTCCCCAATTTAATCATCAATCCTTGTTTTCTGAACTATATTTCTACAGCAAACATTGATCTGTTTCTTAGAACGAGAAGCAAAAATTGATCCTAAAGATCTTGATTGCCCGTTTCTAAAAAACATTTAATTATCATTGCTTTTGATTACTTCAGAATCCACCTGCCGCAGTGAAACTGGTAATGGAGTCAATTTGTGTGATGTTAGCTATAAAATCAGAACGTAAACCAGACCCAGGAGGATCTGGTAAAATGATTGAAGATTTCTGGGGACCATCTCAGAAGTTATTGGGTGATCTGAAATTCTTAGATCGTCTGAAATCTTATGATAAAGATAACATACCTCCACCAATTATCAAAAAGATCAGAGAAAAGTAAGTCAGTTTATTATAATCTGCTGATTGAAGAGCAGAAAGATATTATTCATTTTTGTGGTAGATATATTCTAGACTATCGTGCCGTGAGATCATGCAGCAGTCCAACATTTTTCAATAATAGAAATTTTTACATAAAAATGATGCTTTACTAGTTTCTTCTGATTTGTATGTAGATTGTGTCTTGTCATATAGATTATAATCCAGAAAGTTGATATTTAACTCCCATTAAAATATCTAATGTTTACATCCTTTAAGCAATATTCCTTATAACGATTTATTTCTGTTTTCTTTCAGATATTCATCCAATCCTGAATTTGAACCTAACCTTATTAAGAATGCCTCAACAGCTTGTGAAGGTTTATGTCGATGGGTTAGAGCAATGGATATTTATGATAAAGTAGCTAAAGTTGTAGCTCCCAAGAAAGCTAAATTAGCTGGAGCTGAATCTGAATTAGCAGTACAGATGGAGAAGCTAAATGAAAAGAGAGGTCAACTTCAAGCTGTAAGTACTGAACTGGTCATGAATAACGATAACATTTTCAATGCCTTTTCCAATAGATTTGTTTAGCCAAACCATGAAAGAAAAGAAAAATGTAACAATTGATCATGTGCTATTGCTACTACTCTTTAGATATCTTGTGATGTTTTTATGTGCAAGACCTAGATGTCCATTGCAAAAAAAAATGTTTGGAGCAGAAGTACCAGTTACAGATGTGCTGTCCTTTGGGCTTGGAGCATACTTTTACACATCCGATCTTTCCTATAGGTGACAGATAAATTACAAGCTCTAAATGATGAGTTTGAAGCTATGACACAGAAGAAGAAAGAATTAGAAGATAATATAGATCTATGTAGTAAGAAATTAGATCGAGCTGAGAAATTAATTGGTGGTTTAGGTGGTGAGAAAGATAGATGGACTGAAGCTGCTAAAGTTCTAGGTATAAAGTATGTAAATACAACTGGAGATGTCTTATTATCAGCTGGTGTGGTAGCGTATCTTGGTGCCTTTACAGTTGACTTTAGACAGGTAATCTATTCTTGTATTGAATTATGGCCTTGCTCTGCATCTTTAACTTAGAAATGACAAAAACTAATGTGGAAAATAGCAGCCAGTTAAATTATATAACTTACATATTGTTTGAGGAGAAATGCATTTGTTAAACTATGAAAAGGTTATCTCTTAGTTGCAGTGTGTTCAAATCCTCCTCGAGGTAAGAAAAATTTTGATGCCACTGCCAGTGCTTCAGAGAGTGGGCGCAGTTTCAGCTTTGCCCCCTAATACTCAAAGAAAATTAAATCTTTTGAGATCTGAAAACTATATCATATCGGTGCTTGAACAATGAGCCTATGATCATGGATGATATTGTTGCCTTATTAATTTCAGTGCTTATGTGAAATATCTTTAATTCTTTCAGGATATTTTGAAAGAATGGCATCAACTGTGTATCGAGAGGGAGATACCATGTTCTAGTGTGTTCTCTCTGAATGCTACATTAGGTGAACCTGTAAAGATTCGAGCATGGAATATAGCAGGTCTACCAGTTGATTCTTTCAGTGTAGATAATGGTATTATTGTATCAAACTCAAGAAGATGGCCACTCATGATTGATCCACAAGGTAGGTGGTCTTTGTATTTATTTGCTGAAGGATTCATGGATTACAGAGTTATGAATTGTTCTTGTGTTGATTGACATTCTAACTAATGAAAATGAATTGCCAAGCAGTTGATGATTCTCAATATGATTTTATGTAAATTTACCAATAGGTTTAAAAAATGTTTCAAAAGATATATTCAGCACAATTGCTTCTGAGTTGATGCCATTTGTAAAATGTGGAATGTTGATGGCTGGACTCAAGCCTAGTTAAGAAAACATGTATGTGGTAATGTTTATATACCTTGTTCTCTCAGGTCAAGCTAATAAATGGGTAAAGAATATGGAGAAAGAGAATAAACTAGGTATAATCAAACTATCTGATGCTAACTATATGAGGACTATGGAGAATGCTATACAGTTTGGAACACCAGTATTGTTAGAAAATGTAGCAGAAGAGTTAGATCCTATATTAGAACCAATCTTACAGAAACAGACATTTAAACAACAAGGTGTTGAATATATCAGACTAGGTGACAGTGTTATAGAATATTCTGAAGATTTTAAACTCTATATTACTACTAGATTACGTAATCCACATTACTTACCAGAAATTTCTGTTAAGGTGAGTTGTTAGAATAGAATTTGAAATTATGCGTGGTAATAAGAATCATGCCATGAAATGACATGTCATCCTGCAAATGCTGGAAGTTTGCATGAAGCTGAAACTACTTAAAAGAATGAAACAAATACTTGCGTCTCCTGGGGTGAGCCTTTTAACATGGACATTTTACTTTTGGTTACTATCATTGTAACAATGTGATGCATGTATAACTAATCGCTGCTATAATTCAATGCCATATTGTGACTATTTATTTCTTTTAGGTGGCATTATTGAACTTCATGATCACACCATTAGGATTAGAAGATCAGTTACTAGGTATTGTAGCAGCTAAAGAGAAACCTGAATTAGAAGAAAAGAAAAATCAACTGATTATTGAGAGTGCTGCTAATAAAAAACAATTAAAAGAAATTGAAGATAAGATTCTAGAAGTTTTATCTTCCTCACAGGTAAATTAAGACATGGATTACAATTACTCAACTTACAAAATATAAAGTTTCAAGGGATGGACAATTCAACATTATTTGTTACATATTATGCAATACATAAATTTCCTTTTCACTTAATGGTCTTCAGATAGGATTCTTGACATCCTATGGAAAAAAAGGAGAAATGATGATTTTGTGTTTATCTCAAATGAAAGTCATATGATACTATAACAGGTTGGGATGTCTTAACTTAGAGAAGTGAATTTTGATTTGAGTGTGTTTAAACTGCAGACTTGAATTTTGAATCAAGCTTGTTTATAATTATATAATAATGTATACTGCTTTCTAAAGAATATTTTATGAATATTTTAGGGTAACATTCTAGAAGATGAAACAGCCATTAAGGTTCTTTCATCATCTAAGACATTATCAGAAGAGATTTCAGCTAAACAAGAAATAGCTGCAGCAACTGAAATAGAGATAGATGAAACTAGAAATGGTTATAAACCTGTAGCTGTACATTCCTCTATATTATTTTTCTGTATATCTGATCTAGCTAATATTGAACCTATGTACCAATATTCTTTAACATGGTTTATCAACCTCTATCTACAGGTTTGTACTCTTTTTTCTTCCATATTTCAAACCATTTCAACTGGAGTTTATCAAAATCAACGATGTTGAAATTTATAGAAGCGCTCACCTGTTAACTTAACTTTTATTGCCCCAGGTTTGATTCATCTTAAAAATTAGAATTCAGGAGAATTATCTTAACTTCGATTGTCATGGTGATACTGTAAAAGGAGGAACTGAAATAAAATGAAAAATTGAATTCTTAGTTCTAGGTTGTAAATATAAAGGTTTAGGAACAGTTTCCTGCTCTAGATTGTTGTCTCAATTGGCACAAAATATCCATTTCCTCTCATATCACACATAAATAATTATTATTACAATCAGCTTGAATAAAGTTAATTAAATTTGTTATATATTTCAGTCTATAATCAACAGTGTACCAAGTGATAATTTAGAAGAGAGAATATTTAACCTCAATGATCATTTTACTAACAGTATTTATCGTAATGTGTGCCGCTCATTATTTGAGAAAGATAAACTACTGTTCTCTTTTGTACTGTGTTATGGTATTATGAAAGGACAGTAAGTATTATACCTACATCTCTATTGTCTGAAATTTATCATACTTTCATTAGTTTGATTAGTCCACAGATTTAAATTTGAATTTCCATTCCATGTTTTTTTTTATCAAAACATGTCAACAAAGTAGTCAAATAGGTGTTGACCTTGACACATTTAAAATAGTTTGAAAAAGATTGTGGCATGGAGTGGTTTTTGTTTTTTTTGTCAGTCATACCAGATTGAAGTCAATTGCACATGCTGTTTAATCAAACATATTCAAATACTGTATAATTGCAAATATAGTGCACACCCCTTCTTATCCTTTAGTAATTGTTAGACTGCTAGAAGACAGTAATAAAGAAATTTTAATGCCTACAAAAAATGTATGAAATGTTGAGTAATGACAACTCTGTATTTAATTTACCATACGCTCATCTTACATCTAACTTATGTTTTGATTGTAGAGGTAAAATAGATGAAGAAGTATGGAGATTTCTACTAACTGGTGGTATAGCACTGGATAATCCTTATCCTAATCCATGTCCTGAATGGCTGACTGAGAAATCTTGGTCAGAAATAGTTAGAGCTAGTGATCTGAAGAAGTTGAAAGGTTACAAAGAACGTAAGTTTCAATGTTTATAACTAACTTCAAACATTGTCTGTTTCAAGTAAATTCCATAGTTTATTATCTTATTAATCCTACAGTTTGATTTTCAAATATTATCCAAGCTTATACAGGATTTCAAACTTTTTCTCTTAATTTCAGATTTCCAAGAAAATACAGCTAAGTGGAGACAACTCTATGATTCCTCTTCACCGCATGATTATAAATTACCTAGTCCATTTGATGCCATTACTGGGATGGGTAAAATGGTGATATTGAGAACATTACGGCCAGATAAAATAGTCCCAGCTGTCCAGACATTTATTGTGGATAATCTAGGACAGTCGTTTATTGAACCACCAACTTTTGATCTACCAGGATCATTTGCTGATTCTAATTGTTGTGCTCCGTTGATATTTATATTGTCACCTGGTGCAGATCCTATGGCAGCCTTGTTGAAGTTTGGACAAGACATGGGTTATTCTGGACAACGCATTCAAACTATATCATTAGGTCAAGGACAGGTAAGATTTCCTTAGAAATTATTCATTCTGACCAGCAAAACAATTGATGTATTAGGCTATATACTGCAGATTGTATAGAAGGCGAATTGGTGAAGCACTTTATATCATGTGTACAAGAAAGGTAAATATGTTGACCAAAACTATGTTACAAAAGCTTTTTATCAAGTCATCCCTAGAATATCAAAGTTAAAAGCCTGTGTTTTTCTTCAGGGTCCTATTGCTGCTAAAATGATAGAGAATGCTATTAAAGATGGTTCATGGGTAGTATTACAGAATTGCCATCTAGCTACTAGCTGGATGCCAAAACTCGAGAAGATTTGTGAAGAAGTAAGTAAAAGCTGTTCTCTCGTGATATTCTAATCATTGTTTATTACAAGGAGAAAAATCAACACCACAATCCATAAGTCACAGTGAAAAAGTAAACGAATTTGGTAGACATGAAATGAATTAACAATTAATATAATTTAATCATTATTTCCATTTTATTTTGTAGGTTATTACGCCAGAGAATACCAATAAAGATTTCCGACTCTGGCTAACTAGTTATCCCTCAGATGAGTTTCCTGTTTCTATCTTACAAAATGGTAAGAAATGAGTAATATACCCTAAAAACATTTTTATTTTCATGGACTCTCCAAAGAGAAATCTAATTAAAATTGCTATCATAAAATTTAGAAGCCTCTGTGGTAATATTTGTAATGGAGCTCAAATCTGTATAAAATTATCTGTATGATAGTTAGTTGGACAATGATCATTTGCTTGATATGGTTTTTGTGATTTTTCAGGTGTGAAAATGACTAACGAACCACCAAAAGGATTGAGAGCTAATTTATTAAGATCATATCTCAATGATCCTATATCTGATCCTGCTTTCTTTGATGGCTGTAATAAGGTATGTAATTCCTCAATTAAAAGGGTACTTTTTGTTATAAAATGCTAATAAGATAAATGAAAAAGTTGAATTGAAATGGATTCTGTATAAGAGACATTGCAAATTTCAGAACTTGTAATCATGAAAGTCACATTATATTAAGGGTTATATTGTGGACTTTTAGATGAATTTTGCTTTGTTTTTCAGCCTGAGAGGTGGCATAAGATGTTATTTGGTCTATGTTTTTTCCATGCTATGGTACAAGAAAGACGTAAATTTGGTCCATTAGGATGGAATATACCATATGAATTTAATGAATCTGATTTACGTATTAGTATGAGACAAATATTGGTAGGTAACAAATGGATTGTTCTATCCTAACCTAAAGTTTGTATACATTAACTCTCTATTTAGGAAGACAAAAAGCAGTTGAAATAATGCATGACTGATAGCTCTGAACATAATACTAAATTAAGCTTTTTTCTTGTAAAAGGATTTATCAGCGCCTGCAGAGAAAGATTGACTATTCAAATTTATCCTGGAATAAAGACAAAGTGCATAATCGATAGTCCTGCATCTAATACTCAAAACCTTTTTATTTTTTCGAACCCTCTGGACTATAAAGTATGTAACATTCTCCTCATATTGATCTCATATTTGACAATCTTGTATTATAGATGTTTTTAAATGATTATGAAGAATTACCATTACCAGCTGTAACGTATTTAACTGGTGAATGTAATTATGGTGGTCGTGTTACTGATGATAAAGATAGAAGACTATTAATGTCATTATTATCTATATTTTATACTGAAGAGATTATAACTACTGAGGGATACAAGTAAGTATCGTATTGAAATAATTTTGCCGGATCTGGAATTATTCATGCCATTCAAATGTCAGATGTCATAAATTGGATTGAATGATGCATGGCATCCTGTTCTTGTTTTGTCCTTAGTCCCATTAATAGAAAACTGTTTCCTAAACAACTGTTAATGTATTTTATGCATGAAGCAAGTGTTTTAAAATAAATGAGCAGTAAAAAGTAAGTGAAAAATTCTTTTGGCTGATTGAAAGATGTTCATCTTAAATTGTCTAATTCATATGAACATGTACCTAACAACCTATTGTTATATTTGTAGATTTTCTCCAACTGGAATATACTATGCACCTCCAGAAGGGCCTTATAATAATTATATAGAGTATATACGTACATTACCTTTAATACAAAATCCTGAAGTGTTTGGTTTACATGAGAATGCTGATGTTACTAAAGATAATCAAGAAACACAAACAGTTAGTATTTTAAAACTCAATTTTTGGTAACCATGGTAAACAACTGTAGTCTGTCAGAAAAGACTACTGACACTCTTTTACATTGGAAATTTAAATGGCACCTAGAATTACAATTTGTATAACTAAATAACATAATTATGACACTATATGTAACATTATTGGTAGCCTCTGATAGCAGATGTCAGCTGGTGTAGAGACAGAAATGATGAGCCTGTTAAATGTGGACATTCCGCATCTCTTTAGGTCGGGGGTTTTAAACCTATTTAGATACCTTAGATCTGCATAACCCAGGTATATATTTGAAAAGATTTCTGTAGTTCAGTCATACCATCATTTTCTTCCTAAACCATTTATGTCATGTCTCCGGTTCCATCAAAGTTTTTTTTGGGAAACTGATCTAGCATTGGCCAATTAAAACTGTGTAGAGCCAAAAGTTCTAAGGTCACAGAGTCATGTGATACGAACAAAACAAACATTAATTTACAATCATCTTTAAGGTGATCTGATATTATGTTAGAGAAAAACGCATCTTTGGAGGTATGGAAAATTCCCATTTAAAAGGGTCTTTTTCTTCTGACTCTACACCCGCTGACAACTGTCAAAATATCCATCAGAGGCTGCAATAGAGGCAGATGTCTCAGACTACGGTAATGGCTGCTTTAATACGCAACCAATGTTCATTAACTCTTGGTGCAATAGTTGCAGAGAATTTTAAGTATCTTTTTGTATGATTTCAGTTATTTGATAGTATACTACTAACGTTACCACGACAATCTGGTGGTGGTGGTAAATCATCAGGGGAGGTTATTCAAGATTTAGCAGCTGATATCTTGAGTAAATTGCCCAGTGATTTTGACATTCCTTATGTAAGTATTTGAATTTCCCATAGTTTTGATCCAGATTCAGACTTTGAAGTATCTTCAGACAATACATTGAGACGACTTAAATAATTGTATTTAAAAACTCACCATTCATTACTGAGACAGATTCAGCTGAATGGAAATGTCTGAGGAGTAAGTCATTTCCAATGAAATACTTAATAAATTTTCTCATTGTGTGCACTTTTCTATTTTATATGAATAAATTGCCATTTCTTGTTGTTTTTCAGGTTATAAAGAAATATCCAGTAATGTATTCTGAGTCAATAAATACTGTTTTACGTCAAGAATTAATCCGATTTAACAGATTAACTTCAGTTGTCAGATCATCGTTACAAAATCTATGTAAAGCTATCAAAGGTTTGGTGGTTATGTCTAGTGAATTAGAAGAGATATTTAACAGTATGTTGGTTGGTAAATTACCTGCTGTATGGGCTGCCAAATCTTATCCTTCATTAAAACCACTTGGTAGTTACGTTACAGATCTATTGCAACGGTAAGTGCTATTTTGTTATATTTTTTGAATAACATTACGTCATTGTGCAGTATGTAGATGAAAAATATTATATATTTCTTTATAAATTTTACAGTTTTCTCCAATTACATGTTGCATCAACCTGATAGTAAAATTTCATAAACTGTCTTTCATGTATTATTGGTTTTCCTGTATCTAGAATACATTATTCAGTAAGAATATGTTTACTTTGCTCTATCATCTGATTAATAATTACCAATTTAATAATGTATATTTTTTGTAGATTGAAGTTTTTTGATGATTGGATTAAAAATGGTATGCCTGTCACTTTCTGGTTATCTGGATTCTATTTCACTCAATCTTTCCTCACTGGTAAGTTATTTAATGTTGAAAATGAAACTTGTAAACACACTGTCATGACATACATAAAATTTTAAAAAGCTTAAAAAAAAATGAAGTTCACTTGTACAAGGCATGATATTGTCTGTCTTTTTTAACATATTCAGGAATAGAGGGGTAGGATGTAAAATTAATTTCCTTAATATAATAACGCTATTTAATCCTTATACTGAATAATGTTTTGTCTGTTGATAGGTGTATCACAAAACTTTGCCAGAAAAACCAAGATACCAGTAGATTTAGTAGGATTTGAGTTCGAAGTGACTAAAGAAGAGAAAGAAATGACAGTGAAGCCTGAAAATGGAGCTTTTGTTTATGTAAGTTCAATAAATTCCAAAAACTGGATTGATTTATTTCTGTCTATATCTAGCTGCAAAGCACTCAGGCCATATAAAAAGGACGACAATAAGATTTGGTTTGTTACTCTTGTATAAATTGCTATTGTAGATTAATATTTTTTTAAGTTTTTACAATTTTAATATTCTTTATTTGCAGGGATTGTTTTTAGAAGGCGCCAGATGGGATAGAGAAAAAATGGTTATTGGTGAATCTAAACCTAAAATACTATTTGATACTATACCTGTCGTATCCTTTACAATTTTTATAGTTATTTTCAGGTATTGCATTTCTGATACTGAAGTTTTTGAAAACAGTGTGCTGCTTGAAATCTAAATATGAAACTCTTCCCTTCGAATAACTGTTGTGTTGGAAATCAAGCATCCATGGGCCATATTCTATTAATCAGTCATTTTTGACTTAATTCTTTATATATCAGTCTTGAATTATGATTAACTATACTAAATTTGTTTTTCCTTAATATAGCTTTTAGATTTTATTGAAACCTAATAAAACTGACCAGTTTACCAATATACCAAGTTATGACTGTCCAGTTTATAAAACTAGCGCTAGAAGAGGAACATTGTCCACTACTGGTCACTCAACAAACTTTGTTATGTATATAAAACTACCTTCAGATAAACCTCAATCTCATTGGATCAATAGAGGAGTTGCTGCCCTTTGTCAATTAGATGATTAGTTTACCATTTCCTTCCCCAACCAATCAGCTGCAGAAATTCTAGAAAGTTTATGTATTTCAGAAGTTCCAAGAAATGGTGATCATTTTTGACATAAAACCACTTTCAGCTATAAAATGTCAAAAATGTGAAATATTTGTGGTTTTTCTGCTGATAACATGCCTGTTTTTGTGTGTATATTTATCCCAAACTGTATAAATATATCTAGTTTGCTGTGCCAATATGTATATTTTGTGAAATATTATGCTTTATTTTTGGCTGAGAATATCAAAATGCATGTAAACCTTTGGGAATCTGTGATGCCAAAAATATCTGAAAAATATAATGCAATAAACAATCTTTTTTTGTATTCCACTCATCATGGCCCTTTTGCCATTTGTTATTAAATTATTTTTTGACCAGAGCCAGCATTACTTTATTTTACTAACTGTCCTCCATTCTATTTGACCAAGTATAAATAAATTTTATTTATCAATCCTTGGTAACGTGAATTATTTTATATGAAGATGTGCGATTTATTGCGAATTTGGTTTTCAAATTTATCTCAAATTCATTTGTTTGCTGGATTTCCTGATGAACTGTCCAGCTTGCAAAAGTTTCACAATTTCACCCAGAAACATTTGTCTCGTAACCAGGTTAATGTAATATATTTACATATATCATAATCTAGTATGATTTGTTTGTTTTTAATATTATTTTATTGTTTATAATAATATCCATATAATTAGTCTGTGATAATTAACTAAATGTGTTAGATCATTGTGTAATAAATTCAGACCTTTGTCTGCAACTGCAATACTTGTTCGTTTCATGTAACTAATTTCATCATCCAAATTATTATACATTAATTATGCGAGATGGAATATCGCTTTAATACAATACTGATTGTATCTCAGAATGACTATTGTTTGATGAAGAAAATTTGGTATGTTTAAAGGGGTGCTCTTTTTGACCAATCATACTTTACCTTAGTCTCAGAAACAGGAATTTTTAAGCTAAGCTAATCAGTAATAGTGTTAAAGCTGACCGTTGAAATTTGAAGCAATGTGTCCAATTAAAAAGTAAAAATGACTCCTCTTTTCCATATGTTGAAAAGACATAAAATATAGAAACAGAGAGTGAAATTTCTAGTTTAAAGAATATTTGCAATGAATTATACGATTTTGTGCAGTTCTAGTAGTTCTGAAGCTTATTTACATATATTCAGCACACAAATCCTCAAGTTGATATGGTCTAAGATTTAAGTAGAGTAATGGGAGCCAAATAGACAAAACAATTGATAAAAAGAATTTTATTAATAATTGATATAAAAATAAGGTTGATCTATATAATAGGAATGTTATAATGTACAATTATAATTAGTTTACTTCACAACCACATTAGGTCTTGTGAGCACAATGATTAGCGTTTGGAATGGACAATGTTTAAGGCAAATATAAAATCAAAAGACAGTTATTACACAGAAAAATCTTTCAGCAATACCTTATTTCATTCTAGTGCCCAAAAACATTTGATTGGTATATGAAACAAATCCAAGATATATTTTAGTGGTATGCTAGATTATCACTTCAGTTTTTATGATATTTGACTGGTTAAAAAATCCATATTAAGCATAATATCCAGAAATGATCAGAGATATAAAACCTTTTTATTAGAATAAAAATGCTAATGTAGTATGAAATTTTCAATAATCGTGTGACAAGATATTTTCAACATTCATTCATTCAATTTCATTCATTCAATTTCACTCATTCATTCATGAAAAGAAATCATTAAAAGGATATCTACAAAATAAAAATATACAAAGCTTCCATTATAGAAAAAAAATGATATGTTTTGATATAATGGTGGCAAAGCAGATATAATCTGCAGCAAATAAAACAAAATAAAAATAAAATTCTAAAATCAGAGAATGATATGATCAGCACTTTCTATATCATTCATTTACATTATTATCGTTGTTTAATTCCCAATGAAAAGTTTTACTCTAGATTGATAGATTTTATCAGGATAAAAGAATTGAAGCCAATATTCTCAGATTTTAAGCCAAAATTTGTATGCCTAAACGTCAAAATAAAAACCAAAGAATGTAAGAGAAAAGGTTATTTCAACCGAAGCAAAATACTTAATGTGATCTAAAACTGAAAGAAAACAAAGATATGTTTGAATGAAGTAATATGTTTCTTAATCAATATGTACATAATTTGCACGAGAAATGAAAGTTTATTGGTCTTTCTAAAAATTACTATTACAAAAGTTTACAGTATAAATGAGTGAAGAGGAAACAAATAAAAGATAATAAAAATCCTGTTGATATTCGGTCAACTCCATTACAACCATCTGATGTCTCACAGTAACAAGTTTCTCTAAATACACCAGTATAATCCCATGACCATCTACAACCCCAAGCCACACCTAAAATAGTTAAATAATTGATTAAATTAAAGTATTTGGAGAACAATAATATAACCTTATCAAAGTCTTAAATTGAACATCTCAATTGCTCATATTGAAATGCGTTTGAAATTTCAGAAGTACACAAGTTAAATTCTTGTATCCGTCATACAGCAAGTATTACATTGGTACTTCGTGGAGTCTAATATACAATACGAATTAAACACATATATTTACCAAAGTCAGTTCGAGAACCACATCTTCTTGTTACTTTCTTCCATCCTCTCCCTAATGAAATAATAAAAAAAAAATGCAAGATTGAGAAATAATCTGGATGGAAATCACCAAATATAAATCGACGAATTATTCCATACAGCTCAAAGTAAGAGATAATGCCCAATTTTCTATTAATCCTCACTGTGCAGGAAAAGACCTAACCAAATTTTATTTTAACTTCCCTAATTAGTTATGACAGTATATAAACAACAGAATATTTGCTTGGTTAGTAGCCTATGATTTGAAATACCATTTAGTTTCCAAAGTTTATACTTACACCCTGGACTTTCTTGAACAATCTTCACACAAAACTGACCAGGTGTATGGGCTTCAAAACTATTACAATCTACTTTAGCATTTACACTGGTATCAAATGGTTCATCATTAGGGCAAGATATATCTTCATTACTATCACATTGGAAACACTGTATAGAGTCACCTTGAATACAAAAGTATAGAGCCATCTAAAATTTATACAATTATTATAGAACTATCTAAAATATATACAATTGTAAAGAGTCATCTAGAATATATACAACTGTATAGAGCCATCTAAAATTTATACAATTGTAAAGAGTCATCTAGAATATATACAACTGTATAGTCATCTAGAACATACACAATTTAATAGAGCCATCTTGAATATATACAATTGTATAGAGCCATCTAGAACATATACAATTTAATAGAGCCATCTTGAATATATACAATTGTATAGAGCCATCTAGAACATATAAAATTTAATAGAGCCATCTTGAATATATATAATTGTATAGAGCCATCTAGAATATATAAAAATTTAATAGAGCCATCTTGAATATATACAATTGCATAGAGCCATATATGATGCATACAATTGTCGAGTTGTACAGAATATAGACCATTTCATGGAGTCTGCTCAAATTAAGTGGTATTGTATATTAAACATGAATAAGATGCCTTATTCTTCAGGTAAGGTCAGCACTGACAATAAATTAATAGAAGAGCACTCTGGTAAATTGTAGTATCAACATTACAGTCATCATTATGACAACAAATACAATATTTTGTTCCCTTGAAAATTTGTCATCTAATTATCGATTAAAATACAATTTATAATTACTAATACGGTAACTAGAATAGAATGAATTGGATTCTAAGAATTAGATTACAAAGAAAACAAACCTGGAGATATGTACATGAAGAACATAAACACGCAGAAAATCATAGCCTGCGACGCCATCATGGCGGTCTCTTTGTAGATGACACTAAAGATGGCGCTGTGGTGTTTTTTGCATTCCTTTTGAATATTGTCATACCTGAACAGGTAAATTTAATTAAAACCCAATATTAGTAAGTGAAAATAGGATAGTAAGAAATATTGTTGTAAGGAAATGAAATCTAATTATAAAATTAATTATTTATTTATTGTCATAGCAAGAATTAACTTTTTAAAGAAAAATAACTGCAGAATTAGTCATGCTAATTTAAGCGCATGCGCTACATGGGGGGCCCTGTAAGGGTTAGCCGACAAACTAAGACGTGAAAGACATATCTATGGTTAGAATGTCTTTGGATTGTAAAATATGGAAATATAACAGCTCTGGGGATTTATTTATATGTCACATATATATGCCTGCTTTTCTTGTGCAACTTTTAGAAGAAGTAAAAAAAGAAACAGCGACCATGGAAATCTGAAATAATAGACTCAAGCCAACCAAATAGATACAGTATACTGAGTTATGGTCTCAGAACTACAAACTTTCATTAGACTTGATTCAGACAGCAACATTTCCATTCATGTGGAAATGATATTAGATATATCTTGTTTAGTTTCTCTTAGAAGCTTTGGAACAGTAGCCCTGACTCCTTTGGAATGTATCTTGAAGTAACTTGCATAAAAAAACAAAACAAAATGCCTACAATGTGTTGATTGCATAAAATCGGGATTATAATTTGGGAGGGACTAAGGAAAATTTCAATTAAAAATAATGAAAGTTCACAATTAAGTTATATAAAAGTAGTTTATCAAAAGTTTAAATTGGGTATTTACAATAAAAAAAAATTATGTATATATAAAACAGAATGGTAAAAAGAATTAAATGGAATGGCTTATCTATTCACAAAACATTTTACATAAAGACTGAATTTTATATTCTAAAATACAATAGATTATGGTGATCATTATGATAAAAAATATGATTATAAACAAAGAAAATCGAACATAAATAGTCATCTAAATATTCACTTTACACACTTGACACTTTCAGCTTCCAAAATGTTAACATGATAAATTAAATTCATATTTTGAACTTGAAGGAAATTATTAATTAAGATCTGGAAAATTTTGATTGAATAATATTGTTAAAACTGCCATGAATCAAAAAAGTTCAGTTAACTCTAATTCAGAACAAACCAAATGTAAGATTTTCTACTTAAAAGTTGTACAGGATGGCTGCAATGGAGTACCAGTTCAAGTGGTCCAAGGAATAATTAGACGACTATATCTCTTTCTCACTTCACAAAACATTCACACAGTTATATGTATCAATCATACAACAGACATACAGTTCTAGGAATGTTCTAAGCGGACAATTGCTTAATACACTTCAAAATTAAGGTGCAAAACAGCACTGATGGTCCCTTACATGCCAATACACAGGAATATTTCTGAGGTGAATTATGAAACAATCACATTAATTTCTAATATCCCTTTACATGAAATATGACATAATTAGATTGGCATGAAATGTGTTGAACTTGCACTACGATTTAAGGAAATTTGGGTAGTAAGTACAAATTTAATGATTAATATTTCTCAAAATCTCTATAAAAGCACTGATGGTTAAATATTAATTTTGCAGCCTCACAGATAAAATAAATATGTTGGGTGAGCCTTGGTAGAGAAGTATGTTGAAACTGAAAAGTAATGCCAAACTTATTTTTACAGCTTTATAGAGGATGTGAACCTTTTCTTAAGAGTAAAATCTTTTCTTTTCGTGATATTAATTTTTTATTATAAATGATGTCATGTATCACATGATTTAATTAATAATTCCATGATGTGCAGTCAAAAATAAATTGCAACAATTTTGGAAACCTCGGGAAAATCCTTACGAAATGTGAAAATATAATAATGAATTCGGCAAGATGATAATCACACTCTGTTTAAAACATTATACACAACTGCTGACAGCATTGTTAATGATAAGGGTAGAGTCAATCCTGTGTTATATGATTGGGCACCATTACAGCCATCTTGATTATTACAATGACAATATCTCAATTTAACATCATATGTTCCTACTCGTTCTTTACATTCTCTGCCATGTCTACCACCAACCTCTCCTAATTTGGCACATTGTCTTATATATCTTACATCCCATTCACCATCATAATACACTGAAATAAGAAACAGTTTTACAAAATATTAACTTTTTTCGTATTTCCTAGTTGATAAGAACAAATGTTGGAAAATTAACCCACATTCAAAAACAGATCAAATCAAATCACATCAATGCTATGTCTTCACTTGATCAAATCACATCAATGCTAGGTCTTCACTTGATCAAATCACATCAATGCTAGGTCTTCACTTGATCAAATCACATCAATGCTAGGTCTTCACTTGATCAAATCACATAAATCAATGCTAGGTCTTCACTTGATCAAATCACATAAATCCATGCTATGTCTTCGCTTGATCAAATCACATAAATCAATGCTAGGTCGTCACTTGATCAAATCACACCAATGAATTATAAGCCTTCACTTGATTAATTCAGATCAATTAATTGGCCTTCATTTGATCAAATCATGTCATATCAAATCATTGGTCCTATATTATAGTTACATACACATTGTGAAAGATACTTGTAAAATGGGTAGCCATGAGTTAGGCAAACTATGTGAAATATGACAACTGTGACATACCTTCCTGGATAATTTTTCTACACATTTGTTCATCATCATTACATTGAGTTAAATGTTGTGTAACATTGTCAAACCAATCAGCACAATCAGCTTGATGATAGGAATTACATACAAAACATTTCAGAGCTGAACCTGAAAAACAAATATATACAATATAAATATGAGGTGTCAGCATTTAATTATTACTCAATTTACATAATATCTTTAAAGGAATGCCAATTTCAATATTTTGTAGGTCTTGGTCCTATATAATTATAATAAAACTCCACCTATAAGGTGTCAAAATAAAAACGAGGTTCTTTACTGATTTAAAACAAATCTTTATTGACTTGATCAATCAATTGCAATTTATACTCAAGAGTATGCCGAAGCCTTAATAGTGAAATAATATGGCCTGATAAAACTTAACTTTACCAGTAGCCTAGGATAGTCTACTAATGTATAATAATGAAAAGATCTCCATTATTCAAGGGTCCATTCATGGCGGCCATTTTTGGGACAACAATTTAAAATATGATACTTATTCAAATGTCTGTTGGAATTGAAAACTTACTTGATAAAAGTACCGGTATATCGAAAGTTTACAAAGTAGTCTCATACAGATAAAAAATAAATCAATGTTCATACCTTGGTCAAAAATGAAAAATACCGCTATAACACCAACGGCCACTGCTAAAAGTGACTTCATGTTGTCCCAACGTTCATTACCTGTACTATGATTCAAATATAGGTCAATCATGATACAGGTAAACTAGTTCTATAATGAGGCCCCGTAAGGGAAAATTTTGCAAATGACGTTAAAATTCAGAATACGGTAGAAGGGAGACAACTAGATATTGAATGAAATGATTGCTTTAGACACCAACCCCAAACCTTTTTTCCCAAAAATTATACGGTTTTGTTGCGGTCTTTCATATTCATATTGTCTGTCTGATAAATTACATTACGCATCATTTCTTGATAAAGTATCATCGTCGAAACGTCGCAAGTTATTTATTAAAAAAATTGTTATCCATAAAATTGTGTTTATATATTCATACATCAATTACTAAATGTCACCTAAGGAAGTTAGTAGATTGATATTATTTGCCCGTAAAATACATATTAATTAAAATGTTTCACCTGCATTTTGATTATTTTTCCCAAAGCCAGAACCCCAACTCATCTCCTGTCGCTAACTGTTGGTAAAGCTCGCGTCTGGTAGAAATTGGAGATCGGGAACCCTTGACAGAAATTACTATAATGGCACTGTGTGAGTTACGAAAAAGAGTTGATCAATTAATAAGCGGCCAGTTGCATAATGTACGAGCGTAAGCCATATAGTTATACAATAACAATTTATAACTCTGTGGCTTAAGGCGTAGGCCTCCAGACGAAGGCCTGTTAAATAAGAGGCTGGTTTGCCTGAAATTTTTCAGATTTTTGGCGGAGGGGGGGGGGGGGGGCACCCACAGGAAATGTGGCTACGGCAGTAGCCTAGTAGTAGCAGGGAAGGTATTAGACACAATTTGTAATAAGGCATTGTGAAGGTGCCTTTGCGAATTCTACACATACATAAAACCAGAAAAGAAAAGACCCCTCATACCTACTTACACTATACTTGATTAAACAAAGTGTCTCTTCTAAAAAGGAATCTACTATAGCATGTAAAGCGAAGCAAGCCCTAGTCTTTGATTTCCAGACTTCTCTATAGAGCTGTTGGTACATTATAGACTGGATGATAGAGAATATATGGTGTCAGTGTGACTACGTCATTTTGCGGGAAAAAGTAAATACATGTGTATGTCTTTCGTATTAAAAAAATACACATATTAAATTCCTGACAATTAATTTAACTCACTTGTTTTGTAAGCAATTGGGAAGTATGGTTGCGAATAAAAACAGAAAAAATCGTGGAAAGAAAACAAAGGAACCCGATGTAATCTTAACCGAAACAGGTGACAATTTAAAAGAAAGTGAAAGTAAAGGAATTGCAATCCAAAAGACCATGAAGTTTAAAGGCGTTAGTAAGAAAAAGTCTACGAGAAAGGTGAAAGCTAAAATACCCAAACAGCAAGCATCAGAAATTATGAATAATGAATTGAATTCAAAAGTCATCAAAGGGAAAGACACCATGCCTGATCGATATACCTGTTGGTTGATGAAATCAGAACCGGACACTCGCATGGAAAATGGTGTTGATGTCAAGTTTGGGTTTGATGACTTAAAGGCTTGCCCTGATAAAACTTCTTACTGGGATGGTGTTCGAAACTATCAGGCACGGAACTTTATGAGAGATCAAATGAAAGTAGGAGACAAAGTGTTTTTCTATCACAGCAATACCAAAGTTCCTGGAATAGTTGGAGTGTGTTCCATTTCCAGAGAAGCTTACCCAGATCATACCCAATTTGATAAGAAAAGTTCCTACTATGATGCTAAATCAGATGAGAAAAGTCCTAGATGGTTAATGGTAGATGTGAAATATGAATACGACCTAAAGAGATATATTTCCCTTCATGAATTGAAAGAAATTCATCAAGATCACAAGGCCAATGGTGGTCCATTACAAAATATTGCTTTATTTACTAAAGCTAGGCTGTCAGTACAACCAGTCAGTGAAGAAGAATGGGACTTCATAATAAAACTTTCAGAAAAATCAAACTAGAAAGAGTCAACACTAATGTAGTATAGTGAAGCATTGTAATAACATGTGGTCACATTCATAAATATAAGATATTAAAGGGACAGATGCGCCATTTTCTTTTACCAATCTTACTTTAGTCTCAGAAATAGGAATATTTTTGGCATTCAGTGATAGTGTTCACAGCTTCAAATCCATATGACCAGAATTATCCGCATTTGAATGTTAAATGATGACTCGTCATTTTAAGATACTCTGTGATATATAGAAAAGACATATAGAACAAGTGAGTAAAATTCCTAGTTTGAAGTATTTTTTAAAGAATTATGCGATTTTTCGTACATTTCTAGTACCCTACTTCTGAACTGTAATTATATTCGAGACTAAAATCAAAGCCCCAAAATGCTGCATCTGTCCATTTAAGATATATTATTATAAAGTTAGAAAGTTTCATTTTGTGAAGGACAAATGACAGATATCATTTGTTAATCTCATGTATAATGTTATTGTGGTTGTTTAGAATGGAGATTGAGGATTAGAGTGTGATGCAAATATTACATTATCCTTATTTAAGGGACAGGTCACCATCCCTTTGATTAATGATACCTTAGTATCAGAAACGGGAATTGTTTAACTTAGCTATTGAGTAATAGTTTTGTACATTTCTATCACTTCTGAACTATTTACATATATTTAACATCTAAATCAACCCCCGCAAAGAGTGAATTAGTTTAGAGTTGTGTGCATGAGTTAACAAGAAGTTTTCTACCATTCGGTTTTGAAAAAGACTTTTTTCAATTTTCATTTTGATTTAATTTTGTGTTTATTTCTTCATATTAAAGAAATACTATCTAAATATTTTTTCAATGTTAGGGAAGGTACTCATAGACAAGACAAGACAACTCGGACCACTTTTTTTTTTTCAAAGACAACTCAGATCACTTTTTTTTTTAAAAAAAAAACTGGACAGTTGTCTAAGTCTTAAAAAAGTGGTCTGAGTTGTCCGAATCCAAAAAAATGGTTGCAGTTCTAAAAAAAGTAAGTGGTCTGAGTTGTCCTACACACTACTCATAGTACCATGCAGAATAGAAGTATGATGACCATTTTTATCTACAAATGAAAGTGACGACAGGAAGAGTTTCAAGGCTTTTAAGTTTCTATTGACATACTTGCATGCAAATATTACCAATGGGGTCATCATAATGTTGAGCATTAGGTTGCAATGATAAAATGAAATAAGCATTTGGCCCACGAGATGTTTCATCAAATATTCCTCAATAACATTTTCATTATAACAATATTTTAATTAATTTCCTTTATTAGCTTATTTACAGAAGAATGATAATATACATTAATGACATCATAATGATAAAAAACTTGAAATGTTCAACCTGAATGCTTATACAAAATTTAATTGTCAATCTGAGTGAAATCAATATCTTTCTGCAGTGTTCTGTACTTGCCATCCATGATCAGATGAGATTCTTCTAAGTGTTCATTTCAATTTTGCCAAATAGGTTGTCATAGCTTAAACTCATTAATCAAAATCACTGTTAAAAGCGGTTATACAAAACCAGTCACCACATATTATAAGAAAGGCAATTATTGATCAAATCATTTGAGTGGTTAAATATCATTTGACCCAGTAACATCTTGACAATGTGATTCAAAACTAATGTCATCAGATCATGGATGGCTTGCAGAAAAGTTACCACGTTGGTCCATATTTAAAGTTGAACAGTGGCTACAAAAAGTTTAATTCCCATCAGTTTTTCTATTGTGGCTTGTAAAATGTTTACATGTTATCAGAATGTCTCACATGAGTCAAATTATATTTCCTTACTGATATATTCAGTGTCTGAGTGACTAAATCCATTCTAATGTTATTGTAAAATCTCTGACAGTGTAGATAACACATTACACAATGTTCAATATACAACAATATAAAAACCGAAACATAGCTGTCTTGGATCATCTCTTTTTAAAACCATACTTTTTCCTTTCATAAAACAAATCTGTTTTAGCACTACCAAGATTTACAATTTTAGGACATCCATCTCTCTAAAAGAATAGAAAGAAATCATTTCAAATTAATCATTATCACTATTTTTGTCTTAAATCCGATGGAACATGAGCTGGGATTAGACCATCATGATAAAGGATAGTTTTTGCATTTACTCTTATAAAAGTCTAAATTAAGTTACTCATTGCAGTAAAACAGAGTTTCAGTTCTGGTCATTATAAAACAGAATTAAAGTTTTTAATTAAAAATAGAACTTACATCTTTTTCCATTATTGTACACTCTTTACAATAATAAGCATCTGAAACACCAGGTCCACCACAAATAACACATCTACCTTGATATGAACCATAATTACATTCATCACATATTCTTACTAATGTACATGGTCTAACATATGAATCACATATAACACATTTACCATCGCCTAGAAAACAGTTCGCCGTAATAAAGAATTATAAAATGTATTGTAGAACTCTATTTATAAAACAAAAGTGATTTAGTTTACCTTATCATATCATGCAATGCGATCATTGTTTTGGGTCATAGTTTGTACAATAATGGTGGCAGAGTTTCCAACTTATTCTAGCTTACTTTCTAAGTAGCCTAGAACCGTTGATATCTAAATATACTTTGTTAACCCTTTCAACCCTAGAAGCCGGATTATACAATACCCGAGCAGCCAGTATACTGGCCGTTACTAAATGACATCATACAACATTAACGTCATACGCTTTTACCTTTGTTACTTGGAGTTCAGGGTATATGACGTTATATTTCATTTACACTCAGGGTTCAAAGGGTTAAACATTAGAAGACTTGTTGAGTTTGATTTTTATATTTTCAGTCATTTAAATTCACACTGGATATGGATAAATTGAATTAAAGGCATAAAACTTACATTTCTCACATAATCTTCCAATAGCTAAAACAAACAAACCACATCATTAGTTTCGTATTACACTTCATTCATTTATTATTACACATTTAGATGAAGGAAAACTTACTTTTTAGAGCAAGATGCAATTCTCTTTCACATCTATGTATTTAATGTAAACAATTCTACCACCTCAAGCAAGGCATGCACCATCATGCCTCTATGGGTTAATTTTAAATTTGACTAGATCTATATTCAGGGATCATTTTGGCCGATTGTTTCACAACCAACCGGCCTCTTCATATCCGTGGACATGTCGATCACATTAACTACTATTATGGTCTACACCTCATGGACGCCAAAAAATGAAAAAAAGAAATTCATATTCATGGAATTCAATAAAATATGCATTGTTTCCTATGTATACATACCAACACCGGGTTGTTTTCGACAAAAGATTAAATCGGGATGATGCTTCGCCATTTTGAAAATCACTTGTGCATATGACGAATTCTACAATTTTTTAAAGCAAAACTGGAACGAAAGACAACAGGCTCTTTGAATGTTTGATCATTCAAATACTAGCTAATCTAATATGGACTTATTAACAGCATGTCGTCAAATATGTAATATTTGATTATTATTTGGTATTTAATGTGGAAAATTTTTTATTGTGGCCATATAGATTTAAAATATTCGTTTCTAAATAGAATGAATGAGTGAATTATTTTTGGGAACTCACCGGAAGTAAACACAGGTTCACAACTTTTATAAACACGTGAAACGTTATTCAACGATTTTGATATAAATATCAGACTTTTAACGTTGCAAGAAATAAGATGACGACAAAGAGTGATTCAGATTCTGAACCCGAAATTGAAAACTCAGATAGTGAAGAAAAAGATGTTACTTTCAAAAGTTTAGTATGTATATTTGTGGGCAATTTGGGATAGCCCTAGTTATAACTATAAGCTTCTGCTTACTCTCTGTTCTAAATCACATTTTGGCTATCATTGAAATAATATGAATGAAGGCATGGCCTTGAATGAGAGCGCAGGTTATTGATAAAATAACAATAATTAATAATAAATAAACGAAATGGCCGAGGATATTTGCCACCCAGGTCAACCTGATCATATTTTGAATATTTGTGACGAGAGAAAATATTCAATTTAGAGGTCAATGTGGTCAGAGAGTAGTCAACTTGGCCCCTGACAAATTCCAATACAGCCTCAAAAGAGCAAAGTTGACTACATTCCAGTTTGCTCTTTTCTACTGATTTCTACTCTAGCCTATTAACAGGCACCATCGTCTGCTCAAGGCATGTAGTGGTTTCCCCCCTTTACAAGTTGCTCCCTAGTGGTTTCCCCCCAGTGGTTTCCATTCCTATTCTTAGTGGTTTCCTCCCCTATTCTTAGCGGTTTCCTTCCCTAAGTAATTTGTAATAAACTAATTAAAATGCCTGGTAATCTTTATCAATTATTGTGATGTATTAACACAATATCAGGAAGCCATTGGAATAAATTGCTTTGTTATTCTTAATTAGAGATAAGCAGTTTTTTGGTAGGCACATGATAACATATAACATTTTATCTAACTCTATTCAAATTTGACTTGTTTTTAAATTGCTGATTTGTGTTGAAATTGCAATATTTACAACTTAGAGATTAGTGTGGTTTAAGTTAACGCATTTTTTTAATCCATTGATTGGAATGTATATTTCTCATCTGAAATGATGTCTTCTATAATGTAAAATGTAAAAAACCCTCTGGCTTCTGGGAGCTTTGCCCTCTGACCCCCAACTGGCCTTTGTCCCAATGATCTCTGCTCATGATTTGTTTCGTAAATTTTAAGACACATAATTTTTACAGGGTATTGTAGATGTTTTATGTGAAGCTTGTGAAAATTTGAAATGGAAGAAACCAACCAAGATACAAAGAGAAGCAATCCCTATTGCCCTCTCAGGTAAGTGTTTCTTTTCAATGTTTTCAATATGTTAGTTATAGTCTAGTTTCAGAAACATAACTTTCTGACATTTGATGTATACATTATTTAGCATTCTTAAAATCATTGATATTCTCAGCTTTGCATGAAGTTATTTTAATTGAAAAATTGCTGTTATAACTGTAATGAGTATAAGACTCAAGATTTGCTTCATTCAATATGATGCTTACATAACACTGTTTTTCTCCTTATTTGCAGGAAAAGATATTATAGGATTAGCTGAGACTGGTTCTGGAAAAACTGGTGCATTTGCTTTACCAATATTACAATCCTTATTAGATAATCCACAGAAGTTATTTGCTTTGATCTTAACACCTACTAGAGAGTTGGCTTTTCAGATATCAGAACAATTTGTAGCTCTTGGAACATCTATTGGGGTTAAAACAGGTACATTTGTCAGTACATGATTATGCTTTATTGAGCGATAACATTGTCTGTTGTCATAGTTATGCTATTAGTTCTAAATTTCTTGATTGAATATGTGCTTAAGATAACTTAGCTTTTCGATGTCACATTTGCATATTTTCGTTGACCTAGCATTCTTTTGAACTTGATTTGAGGGTTTTATTCTTTAAATGGTCTGTAACAGTACCTCTATTATTATGATTTTTTTATCGTTTTAGCTGTGATAGTTGGAGGAATGGACAGTATGAGTCAAGCTATGATGTTGGCTAAAAAACCTCACATAATAGTTGGTAGGTATAGTTAATAAATAAGATTTGTGCCAGATCTTTGATCCAAATCAAGTAAGATTCTGTCTAAAGTCAATTTTTGTTTAAATCTGTAGAAACAAGTACATTAATTTTTATATTTATTCATATTTCAGCCACACCTGGAAGATTATTAGATCATTTAGAAAATACAAAAGGCTTTTCATTAAGTAATCTAAAATATCTGGTAGGTTAGATAAAGTTAAAAATTCAAAAGCTAGTTAGAGCTAAAATGCATGAAAAAATATATTAATAATATTATCCTTTTTTTGAAAAATTAGTAATTCAATGAAATTGTCTGTATTTATTTTATATCTCAGGTTATGGATGAAGCTGATAGAATTTTAAATATGGATTTTGGAAAAGAGGTAAGCATTATTCAATATATTACCACATAGTTCAGAACATTAGCAATTAGAGTCTGGATTTTGACTTTTTGTTGTAGGTTATTCAATGCATTGAATTCAAAGGTAGATATTCAGGGGCAAGAAATTTTCATGTGTTTATTGTTTTGTGTGTAATATTTATTATTTCCATTATTTCAGATTGATAAAATATTGAAATCAATACCAAGACAAAGACGAACATGTTTATACTCAGCCACAATGACACAGAAGGTAAATTTGACTTTTTTTGTTATGCGAAATTGGTAGCTTTAATTGAGGACAAGAAGCTGATATAAACAATGATCACAAAGTCTCTTTTAAGATGATCATCAATATAACTGATATAGTAATGGATTTATATAAGCTTAAAGCTTGTTTCCAAAACCATATGTTTATCTATATGTATATTGTAATATTTGTAATTCTTGAATAAATATTGTTTAAAAAAAAAAAAAAAAAAAACTGATATAGTCCAACTTTAACTTTTTTTTTGTTTTTGATAATTTAAGGTACACAAGTTACAGCGTGCCTCATTAGTTGATCCAGTCAAAGTACAGGTGTCCAGTAAATATCAAACAGTAGAAAAATTACAACAATATTATCTATTTATACCTGTTAAATATAAGGTATGTTTTTAGTGCCTTCACTACACTTGAAAATGATCGAGTCAGAATGGTGTCCTAGACACAAAAATGAGACATTTTTTAGCATCAATCAGACACCATTCGAAATTACATTAAAATTAATTGTTGTGTTATCAATGCCACAATTTTGAGACTATGATAATCTTAATGTTTTGTAGGATGTCTATCTGGTATATATTTTAAATGAGTTAGCAGGAAATAGCTTTATGATATTTTGTAGTACCTGTGCTACTACACAGAGAATAGCATTATTACTACGTAACCTGGGTTTTACAGCTGTACCTTTAAATGGACAAATGAATCAGGTAGTTATTATTATTTATTTAAAATGTTTAAACTACCTGTTTACTGCTTTTAGAAAGATACTGTTTCTGAATTATTTAGGCAATTACTTTGTAGTTAACAACTGTGTCAATCAGATTTTTTTTTTGGTTGGTAGGTGGTTAAACTTTGGTAGAAGTTGCATGAATTTCAGCCATGTATGCACTAATGGCATGAATATGATTTGTGAACTGTTTTCAAATTTTCATTAAAATTTACAACTTTAGAAAAAATAAAGAAATGATTTTTTCTTATTTTCCAGGCCAAAAGATTAGGTGCTCTAAATAAATTTAAAAGTAAAAGTAGATCTATTATTATGGCAACAGATGTAGCAAGCAGGTAAAGTTTTTCAACAGTATTAAACAAGGTCAATTTAGCAAATATACAGCAGACTTGGTACAAAACTTGAAAGGATTAGTCACAAGTTTATTTGACTGTTAAAGTGGCCTTAAAATACATACAAATTCTATATTACCAATACCCTGGAATTTCACACACAAAGTGATATATCTTATATATTAGCAGCTTTAATTGATTGAAGTTTTAAAATACATGTCTTAAAAAAATGTTGATAGATCTGGAATGAGTGAAGTAACAGATCAGAAAATATCAAAATCTCTCAATTTTTGGTATAACATGATCTTGTTATTGAATTAAGTTTTGATTTTACAGAGGATTAGATATTCCACATGTAGATGTTGTGATTAATTTTGATATACCAACTCATTCTAAAGATTATATACATCGTGTTGGTAGAACAGCTAGAGCAGGACGATCAGGGAAAGCCATCACCTTTGTTTCACAGTAAGTTTATATTAAGTTAGTTTGTTTGTGATTAATATTTTCTTTGTGATGGAATTTTCTGTAATAAGGAAGTTTTAGAACCTTATTTAAAAGGAAGTTCTTTCCAAAATCCTCATTGATTTTAATTGAGGGTGTCGCTGAAAATTTATAAATTGAAACTATAACTGTAGATGTAAACAGTAGTCTCCCAGGTATTAGAGAAAGTATATAAAGTACAGTGTATTTTATTATTAGATATGATGTAGAGTTATATCAGAGGATAGAACATTTAATCAGTAAAAAGTTACCACTATATAAGACTGAAGAAGAAGAAGTAATGGTTCTAATGGAAAGAGTATCAGAAGCTCAAAGATTAGCTAAATTAGTAAGTAGATTAAGTCATTGTGGTCATGTAAATTAGGAAAATCAATTCTGCAGAAGCCTGATTTTAGTTTTCAATTTTGAAAATGAAATCTTTTGTCTGAATTTTCTACAATTAAATAGTTATCAGGCTAGATTAGTTATACATATTCATAATATCTATAGTTTTACTGTATAACAAGAGTTCTGCTGCAGACAAATGTTTTGCTTCATTAACATAGCTTTTTATACAATATAGCTCATAGAATGCAGCATCTGCTGTGCAGGAACAAAGGCAATATAAGATTCACATCCTTACAGATGGTTTTCAACTACACAGCCTGGTTAAGTCAAGGTCACTGTTATGTAATGTGTGATATTATCAGTATTACCACTCACTTAACATGTAACATAATAACCTGATAATAGTAGACAACTACTCATATTATCAGATAGTTTGATATACATATACTTTTCCTGTTTAGGATATGGCTGACCTTGGCAAGAAAAGAAAATCTAAAGGTGATAATGATGATACAGAAGATTCAGTTGGTGTTCGGAAAAAAATGAAGAAAAAAAATAAACGTTAATGATTTGATATGTGAATAAATTTATTATAAAAAATATATTCGTTGAATAATTATCTATACATGTATTAGTATACAATATAAATTCCTCTACATTTTTTTCTACATCAGACTGATATAAATACCTATCTAGATGTTTCAGTGGGTGTTTCTTCTGCCAGTGACTCCACTTGTCATTAATGATCAGATGAAACTTTTATGCAGCTTGCTTTCTACGCCATCAACCAATCCAATGTTATACTTCATGATATAAAGACAGATTGTCAGATTAAGGATGATAAATGAAGTAACCAGCAGAAAAAAACACAAAACATTATAAGGCATATGGATGTGCTTTTAAATCAGATTATGTTAACAATGAACAGGTTGAAAGACATATTGATTTCAACTTTTCATTTATAAAATGAAAACTTGCTCAAATTTAACAATTTAACATTGTATAGTATAGCTAGAACTATGAGCAAATATCAACCCATGCATTAAGACCAGGTTGGAGAAGAAATAAAACATATACATGTATACAGAGTATTTTAAATATGAGTAGAAATCTTTTCCTTAAGTAATAACATTTACAAAAGTTCTAGAAATAACTATAATCTTGTAAATTCTATTTGGGGACTCTCAGTTTTTTCTGCTGTTTCTGACTTTTTGATTTCTTCCTTTTCTGATCCCTTTTCACCAACAATTATTTTAACATCTATATTGTCATATACATCCACAGGCTTGTGGAAAGGTTCTACAGATTTTTTCTACAAAGAAAGGACACAAAATACATCATTTTCTCGATGGGGAACCATATACAAATATATACCGCTTAGAAGGGAAGGAATGACTTCCTCAAATAACCCTATCTTAGGTATGGTATAACCTGACCGGTTTTGTTTTGATTGAACTCTTCAACTACACACAAGTGAAAGCTTCACCTCTATTTATGCTAAAAAAAAAAATGCGAAGGCGCATTGCAGAGGCAACTTTGACCTGATGCGGAGGTGTCTCAGGTCAGTTGTAGAGGCGATTCTGGTCTATACTGGCCTACAGTGAGATGGGAAAGGGTCGAACCGCAATTTTTTTGTGTTATCGAGTTTCGATGGGAATAACTCTTTTATGAATTAGTTTAGGCAGTTGATGCTTCGAACTAGGATTGTTGCCACTCACAGGCAGAGTTAGCTGTTTTAAACAGATCCTTGAAAGTAGGTGACTGTAACAAGTCGATCCAGCTGGCGGGGAAGTCAGTCCCAGCATGGGCTTTGGGAATCTTGTATGGGTTTCGTTGTCCACATGGGTTGTGTTTTTTTTAGCAAGAAAAGGCGTAGAGCGGAACTACATTGGATCCACGAACTTAAAACCATTTTTCAAATATATATAAACCACCATAAAGTCTAAAAGCTGACAAATTGAATAAGGCAAAAAAGGAATTGAATCCATTCTTTAGAAAGTTGAAAATGGGTTAATGTCATTGTAATAACAAAAATTATCTCATTGTGGCATTATCTACCTCCATTACTGCATTCTACCGGTATTAACTTTTCATGAAGATTGGCCCAGAAAAGAACCATTAACATGTAGATAATGCTAAATATCATAAACTTTATAATAACTTACATGATCCACACCACATCTCAATTTACTTAAAATACTTTCTGGTAAACAGAAAAATACTCGATCAAAAAATGGAAAGATTAATCTTGAGTCTAAATCTTCTGGTTTGGTACGACCTAAAATATGATCATTGGCCATTTTTGCTACTGTTTTTGGGTAAAGCAGTATCTTAATAAATCTGACTTTAGTTCTGAATAAACAATGTACTTATGCTTCAAAGATCTAGGCCCTTTCTTTGACAGTAAACTAAGGCCTTGCACTTTGAAAGATACCCAGTTACATGTAGTTGGAAATGAAAAACAGTAGGCTTATGTCCTGACAAAATGTTCCTAATTACTTTCTTCAGTTCATTGCTCTCTTCATTTAGCCCAATCTGGTCTAGAAAAGTAGAACTTAAAAAACTGTTCAAATCATTTCCAATTTGTGTCTACTTAAAGTCCATATTACCTGTTATGAAACTAACAATGAGCCCAACAACAACTACTATTAAAATGCCTGTACCCGTATACCACAGATAAGATAGTTTATACATATCATAAAATGGATCACTGAAATTTAATTGGTATAAACAAGTTAATAACCCTGTAAATTATATATTGTTATATCATGTTTTATAAAACTTGACCTTGACATTATGTTCATAATATTTCCCTGCAGTTGTAATTGCTGACTATGGAAAAAAACAACATAAAATACAATAGCTGTTTAAATGCATTAGTCAAATTATTTCAAATTAAATTTGAAACCTGGATTCTGCATCCATTTGTGGTGTTGGTGTAGTGTTGTTGAGAATTGTTTGTGTTGTATTCATATAAAGTGTTGTTGGTATCATTGTTGTTGTTAAATTCCAATTACAACCTTCCACAGATACTGGACTGAGGGGAGTTCTTATTTTTTTGGCATATGCTCCAAAACCAATCCAAAGCATCATGGTTAGAGATGTTATACACCCTGCTCCCGCTCCCTGTAATACCAGTAGTTAAAATAACCTTGTAAACATAGATAAACATAATCATATTGATTTAGAATTCTTATCAATGTACACCAAAAACCCCTTAAACATGACATTATAATCTGTGAACTTAAAAAGACAAAAAAAAAAGTTATCATAACGAAATATAGCATAAATCGAAATTGTTTAATATTATTTGAAAAGGACTGTTAACAAAATTGCAATCACCTTGAAGCGACCTGTAAACACATAACATAAACATAGCCCGAGCTGTAAACATAGCATGTAACATTAAAAGATCTTTTATGTTGGGTAAATCTCTCTATAAATTTACTTACCCATTTATTTGCCCAAGGAAAGAAGAGACCTAATATGAAAATTCCAGCAAGTGGACCATTGAGTATTGAATATATACTATATGTAGCCTGAAAATAGTCATTGTAAAAAGATAATACAAAAGAATATATCATTCAAAAGAGTATAGAAATTAGAACCCGGACCCAAATAGGAAGTGCTGGAGAATTAAACATCAAAATAAATTTAAAGTGCTTGGTTCTTGTGAGTAAAGTCTAAAACTTTAACATCAAATTGCATAAAGAAGTTAATAAATGCACAGAATTGTTCTAAATGGGGCAGAACTTTTATACCAGTGTATAAATACTTTTCAAAACTTATAACTGTAACCTACCTGTAAAATTGCTCCTAAACGTGATACAGCAAAGGCAAAAGCCAAACCCGCCAGACCATAAATAATAACTATATTATAATATGATAATATATATAATAATTAAAATATACAAGGTCTTATAATTGAAAAACTGGCAGGGGTGGGATGGAAAAGGAGGGGGGAGAAGGGGGGGGGGGGGGGATGGGGGGTAGGAATAATATTCAAATATATAATGGGGTTGAACAACTGTCGAGGTTCAAGAAAATAGGTAGACAGAAATTTAATATAGAAATATCAGTTCCAGAAAACATATTTAGATTAAGTGATGAAAAAAGAATTGAAATCATACCTAAAATCTTCGAAAGTAACGTAATTTTGAGATCTGACAATTTCTTCTTCTTGAAACAAAATGGTTTGACAAAATCTTCTAAAGTAACAGCAGACAAAGCATTTAAACTTGAGGACAATGTACTGAAAATAATTTTTTCTTCATCCAATTCAAAATAATCTAATTTGTGAATAGTTTGTGTTCATTCTTTTTATAGCTAAATCTGGGTGCACGAAGCCCACATGGAAATTTGGACGTATATTGCCGTAAGCCCACATACACCGTTCGTCCTGTGGACAGTTTTTATCCGATTTCGATGAAATTTGGTATGCATGCCAGTGAGCGCATGTTACCATGTCTGGCAAGCTATCTTCGTAATCAAGACTAATAGCAACTTTGGTAGCAAATATGCATTAAAAAAATGCTTAGTATCGATATACAAACCTCAAACTCCCACTAAATACACAGGAAACAAATATACCAGGTATACCTGGTAGCTTTCCTAATATATCCATCACAAATAGAGGTAATAACTACAACAGATAATCATAATCACAGTTAATCTGTACTTATACATCTTCAGTCTTGTGAGCGCGCCCAAGCCCATTCAGTTATATTCGTTTCTTTCCATTCAGCCCCCTTTGCTTTGACCATCCCTTTACCACTCACACACCAGTCCACCTCCTATTCAAGAAAAGTTACAGAGAACACTTCTGAAACAAACCGGAACTAAAAAACCAAGAAATCCTACCTGATCACCTTTTGCAATTAGTTTGAAAGCCACAGGATGGCAGTCTGCATAAACAGCAAACATTACAATACCAATCAGAAAACATACAGAACAAATTAATATTAGACCTATCATGTTGACTATTAGTGATCTGAAACAAAATATAATTCATCAGTTTCAACACACTGTTACCAATAAAAACAGCACGTTGTAGCAATACGCAAATGGATTCTTGAAATATTTAATTACATCCTCTTATGAGGAATATGTGGCATTGACGATGTCGCTTTAATCAGAGCTGCTTGTGCATTTCTTTTCAACCTCAATGTCCTAAAGAGTTTGGCCTGCTGTTTTATTGAAATAGAAACTCTTTTTAAAGCAGTTTGCACCCGGTAGTGTTTTTCATTAGTACATTTACCAATTGATCTAGAAAACAATAAACCCACAAAGGTAAGTTCTGGGTCATGAATATATTAAAGTGTCCTTTTAGTGACATTCATCACAAATTTCATGCATTTTCTTCTTTTCTTAAAGGAATATTTCATTGATATATTCATTGAGTAGTGTTTTTAGCATGATACGATGTCTTTACCATACTTTTTAAATTCGAATTTGTAGCCCAAATTCTCGTAAGTAAGACAATTAGAAAGTGATTTTTATGTTATTAAATATTGTTATCTTACATTTGTGCCTTTGTAACTGTTGGTAAAGACATAACTCTCTGTATCTGAGCCTGATTTAAGCTGTATAAACACATCCAAAATAGTCCACCTCCTATTGATACTGACCAGAAAGAATGGCGAATCTTGGGGTCCGGATTGAAACTGAAATAGGAACTTAACAACTTAAACTCAAAATTATAGCAAATGAAAACAATGATATAACTGTAAAGACTATATTTATTTTTGACCTGTAACAAACGGTTTTAATATATTGACCAAATTTATCGATGAAAGATCTTTGTCATCAAAGGAATATTGATATTGGCACTCCATTTTAATTTATGTTTGTGAGTTTCCACACCACAAGAGTGTGTTAATCACCTGAAACTACGCACCCTACATTGTGTTGTTTCTAAGTAAGAACGACACATTGTTTCGTATGAGTGGTCTTATAAGTAGAATTAACTATTTTGTTTGAAAGATAATTTTAATGTCATACTCATCAAATAATATCCTTCCTCTTTCTTGTGCTATATCCCATGCTTGAGCAAAACCACCAGCAACATTGGAACCTTGAATCAATACAGCTAACAATCCAGCGATGATGACCAATCCTTGGAATGTGTCTGTCCACCCTGAAATTAAAGGGAGAAAGTCGTTTTATTATTTGCTTTTCAATCTGACAGAACCCAATTTCGGCAATTTACCAAGGTATATGGTCGAATAACATCCGAAACTTTTATCACTCATTCACTAAGGCATGACTTGTTAGGTCTTCATATCAACTTTTCGATTGTCAAACTGTCATTGTTAAAAGGGGGATTAAAGTAGACCAAAATCTGAGAGCAACTAAATTTTAAACGACTGCAAGCAACAATTAGCATCCGGGAGAATATGATCAGTTGCTGGGATTGAGTTTACCAAAAAATCATAGTTGTCAGCAGTTGCTGAAGTTCTCGCCAAATAATGTATCTTCTCTTGGCCTACAGACATCGGCCCACCTTTACCATGGCTGGCCTTTTAAAGTAGAGTACTTCGTACTTTATAAAACACTTACCAAAGCCGTATAAGCTGTTACAACCAACATCAGTCCGACAATACATCCCCAAAGATTAAAATCAGTGACTGTAACAGAAGATTATCATACATCAATGACAACTGGTTAAAGAGACATTATTTTCTAAAGACACATATTGTGTCAGCTGTATTGGATTCAAAATGTACAACACTGTAACTTGTCAGAGGATATAATCTGGCATGTTTCATTAAAGTTGTAATGACATACCATTTAGAACCTAATTTTGGTTCTTTAATGACAGTATATCGCCTGGTGTGGTTGTTTAATGGCAGTATAGCACCTAGTGTGGTTGTTCTGGTGATTGTTCAAGAACAGTATTTTACCTAGTGTGGTTGGTTGTTGACCGTATGTCACCTGGTGTGGTTCGTTGTTGACGGTATATCACACAATGTGCTCATTGAATGACAGTGCATCATCTATTGTGGTTGTTCAATGACAGTATAGTACCTAATGTGGTTGTGTAATGACAATTTATCAACTATATGGATGCATGTCACAAAATAATTTTTGTTTATAAATTTAATAAAAGTTTAATGAAAGTATATCGTCTGTGTGGTTGTTAAATGACAGTGTATCGCCTACTGTTATTGTTAAATGGCTGTATATTGACAGTATTTCTTCTAGTGTGGTTGTTTAATGGCAATATTTCACCTAGTGTGGTTGTCTAATGGCAGTATTTCACCTGGTGTGGTTGTCTAATGGCAGTATTATCTAGTTTGGTTGTCTAATGAAAGTATTTCATCTAGTGCGGTTGTCTAATGGCAGTATTATCTAGTTTGGTTGTCTAATGATAGTATTTCATCTTGTGTGGTTTTCTAATGGCAATATTTCATCTAGTGTGGCTGTCTAATAATAGTATATGACCTAGTGTGGCTGTCTAATAACAGTATATGACCTAGTGTGGCTGTCGAATAACAGTATGTGACCTAGAGTGGCTGTCTAATAACAGTATATGACCCAGTGTGGCTGTCTAATAACAGTATATGACCTAGTGTGGCTGTCTAATAACAGTATATGACCTAGTGTGGCTGTCTAATAATAGTATATGACCTAGTGTGGCTGTCTAATAATAGTATATGACCTAGTGTGGCTGTCTAATAACAGTATGTGACCTAGTGTGGCTGTCTAATAACAGTATATGACCTAGTGTGGCTGTCTAATAACAGTATGTGACCTAGTGTGGCTGTCTAATAATAGTATATGACCTAGTGTGGCTGTCTAATAACAGTATATGACCTAGTGTGGCTGTCTAATAATAGTATATGACCTAGTGTGGCTGCCTAATAACAGTATGTGACCTAGTGTGGCTGTCTAATAACAGTATATGACCCAGTGTGGCTGTCTAATAACAGTATGTGACCTAGTGTGGCTGTCTAATAACAGTATATGACCTGTGTGGTTATTTACATGAAAGTATACAAACTGTCCTAAGTGTTCAACATTCGTATTCAATTCAAATGAAACACCATGATTTAAATGTTAGATCAAGAAGTTATTTTTGTTACCTGCATTTAAAGCTAATGAAGGTGCATACAGTACAAATGACATGTAAATCAACTGAAAGAGAGAGAGAGAAGCCATAATCATTTCAAAATGTCTAAATTATATACATGTATACGAAAACTTTGTTCAAACAACCATTGACTTAATATAGCCACACAAAAACAGCATAAAGAATTTATAAATGCTTTATGTCATGAAGTGTTAGACAGAGCACTTTGTCAGTAGGCTATATTGAAAGTATAGTTATTTGTATCTTGATTTTACATACATATTATACACTGAATTTAACACCTATTGGATTTATACTTACAGTTTGAAAGATATATAATACAGAGGCTAAAACTCGGATAGATTTACTGAAGCGTAATTCAAGATACTGAAATTAAAATATATATCATATAATAGATATATTTACTTAACCAAGGGTAAATAATAAAGAAACCCTTAAACCAACATCAAGGCAATAAATAAAAAACACAGATCATGGAAACGTCTAGAAAACAATCTGGTCTGTCAATTAGAAATAAAGGTATTTTGTGTTGTTGTGTACTGCACCCAAGCACTATTTTTGTGAAAGACAATATCTTTAAGTTTGATTTTAAATAATGATAACTGTCGAAAGATTACAACTCGTTGGCATTGGCAATAAAAAAAACTATCTTACCTCAAATATACACATCAAACCAAGATTGTAGAAATATGGTACAAATATCCAAGCTGATAATACCATGGCAAATACAAACGCCAAACATAAATACCAAAACATTGTATTATAATTATACATTTCGACTGGATTGCCTAGCAAGGACAAGGCGGACAGGAATGTAACTATTAATGACATTGATACTGGAAAAATTGACATTTTCTTTCCACCATGAACAAAATTTTCAATCGAATCTCTCTTTCTATCTCTGTAAATACAGCGTAAACCACTTTTATCCGAGAAAGAAAGAAGCTACTTCCTGTGGAAAAACATTTATAGTGCTCAAGCCATCAAACGTTGCCGTTTCATCCACACTGTATCCCATTCTTGGATTCAACATTGGTCATATTAACAACAATGAAGATTGTAACCAAATGCTCGATTGTAACCATTAACGGTTTGAGATCAGAATAGGTTAAAGTTTTATTGATACGCCTTATGAAGCATGCTTTTCTTTTATTATGAATGAATTCTGAAATAACTATAATGATGGTAAACTTACCGAATTGCAAAGAAGAATCCAATACATGAGGATACTGCCAGTAGAAGACCAAACATAACATAGTCCACGATTCCAAATTTCCTGGTTACACCAGTATAAATACTTAGATCTCTATCCATGTCGCTTTCGTAGATTATAATCTTAAATCTCAAACTGAAATGATTTTTAAGTTGCCGTCAAAGGACTGTTGTAAGCTATATATATCCCACCTTTCAAAACATATATAAACTAGCTTACTATACGCACTATAAAATTTATCGGTGGGTACATCACTGTTCATTTTTAGATACATTTTTGATTGAGGTTGTTTTCTAGCATTAAGTCAAGCATTAATTGTTTTTAAATTTGAAAACAGCATACAAAAAGTCAAGTAGTAATTAAACTGCAATCAATGTACATGTACATAAGTAAAGTTAGATAAATACAATTTACCTTTAAGGCGTGTCTTTTGATGCGCTGGATCTGTTTTAGCCTGTTATGGTTTGATCGACTAACCTGACGAAAATGTTATTGAATCAGAGCAGAGTACTTTACATGGTACAGCTACAGTGTTAGCGACATGAAAGCGTAGATTTACTAAGTTTGATCGAGTCATACACAGATGAATAGATCATGTTTGCATGTTCATTTAAATATTTTAAATATATGAACATGTAAAACATTGTAAGTATAAAACGTATGGACAAGCCCGTAGGTAAGGGGGAATGGGGAAACGGAGACAAGCGAAATATCTGAGAATTTCTAACCTAGTTATGAGGTTATAGGGCTGTAGGGCTGTGTATTATACACATATATTATGATATGAAATGAAATTCTATAGACCTTTTATGAAATAAAATAGGGATTATGTACTCGACATATTTGTGTACTCCACAATTCCTAATAATGGGAAAATGGCCTCCATTTCAACCTTGTTCAACCTCGAGGACCTTATATAAAAACACGTTTTAGCAGCATGAAATGAGCTTTATGTTACACTATCCTTATGGTTATAAGATCATCCTTTGAAAAACACATGTAAACAAATTTTTTTTCGTTTGATTTATTTCTTTTTTAAAGATCTTCAGGGATTGAAAATATATGGCATCTGTCACATGATAGGAGGCATATAGGTTAATGGCAACAACATTTATTAGAAAAATAATAAAAACAATTTACCATTATAAGATGAACTGTTACAATAGCATTAGGACTCAAAGAGGGTGTAATATTAAAGACTCTAAGCGACGATTTTCAGAAAACCATAACACCATGTATTATATTGACGTTGTGTACCATTCTATGCCTTTTAGCTAATGAATAACTGTTACAATAGCATTAGGACTCAAAGAGGGTGTAATATTAAAGACTCTAGGCGACGATTTTCAGAAAACCATAACACCATGTATTATATTGACGTTGTGTACCATTCTATGCCTTTTAGCTAATGAATAACTCCCAATTCTCATCTATGTAAAGCGACCAGTGTATGTTCTTACTCTTGACACATTAGTCGGGTTAATGTAAACAGTAAAAATGAATAAAGGCAAAAAAGTAGGACAAACTTCGTCCTCAAGAATTTTATGAACTTAATTCAGTAAGGATAAATTTGTTAATTTATTTCATAAGAAGAGACTTTCATTTGTCAAATATGCTTTTGTGTCCAAAGACTTGAAACTAGAACAGATGAAAATAACTGCCACATGTAGATGGCCGTGATGAGTCTAGCTATTACTTATCTTATACCTTGACTGAAATTGTCACCTTTCTTGTATCATGGAATGGTTTGCACGGAAGCGTAATCAGGGCTCTCAGCTGTATACTTTATGACTTTGCATGATACAAACAAGGTATACTATTGTAGTCTAAGTAAGAAGTTCGCAATAGCATTGTGAATTCAACTGTGCCCTGCATCTATTTTGATCGATTAATAATTTATGAAAATGTAATTGGATAGGAGCAAAAAGAAATGAAATGAATGGAGTTTTACGTCCTACTGTTCTGCACCAGAGGCGGACAACTATATTTATCTGCATCATCACGTCGAATTTGCTTCGTATGATCGAGTCCTAAAAAATGTAAATCGACAACGACATATTCAACTAATGTATAACACAGGTACAAAACCTACTGAACCTTATCCGATGTATGGTATGTATGTTTTGACCAGTGAGATCCAGAAAAAACGTGGCTTTATTATTGACAATATTGTAGATTAGGAGTTTTGGAATATGCGATCTTCATTGCGTCGGGTATATTTAGCTTCCTTAAATGACATTTGCAAATGGAACATTTTTCATGCAAACAATGCAGGCCCGTATAGCCAGATTTGATTGGCGGAGGGCATTGACGAGCCAGACTTATTTTTGGGATTTTCAGAAACTTGTTTCCCCGTTTACTTTTTTCATTGTCGTTGAGATATTTCGAAAAACAAGATTCCTTAATTATCCTGCAATTTTATTATAACAATACTAAGGGAGATAAGCTCGTCAATAGCATACGGTCTTGCACCGCCAATTCATTTGCCATTTCTTCAGAAATTTTCAATTTCCCATAACAGCCTGGACAAATAATATACTCTTTTTCTCATGACCACGAAAATTTCTAGTTACGCAAATCGGAAGTAGACCACTACTGATTATCAACATCCACTGCCGGATAAGAACATCTGTCTGTACAGGACTTTCGCCGCAACCTTATATCTTCATATAACCCAAAACCTGATATAAATGACAATTTCAGACATCAAAATTAAAATCTAGACCGAAAAATGCAACAATAACGGGAGGGGTAAAAAATAGGATATCGAAAAATACCACGCCTACTTAAAAATGTTTAGTGGTCTGAGTTCATACAAGGAACAAAATGATTTAATATTAAGGATGGCTTGCCAGACAAGGTAACTAAGCAACAGAAATAAATCATATTTTTCATGGTCCAAAAAGCATAATCTTTTACCTTCGTCTTGGAGCTTTTCACTTTTCAATGGTAATAGGATTAAAAACATTTCATCAATTAAAAGTGACACCAGTGAGCCTTTTCATAATATAGGCCTAGTTGGTGAGTGTATAACAAGTACACATGATGTACCCGAGGAATGTGCATATAGAAATTAACGAAAATCATCAAAATGGAAACGACTGAAAGTAGCAATGCAGACTGCTGCAGCAATAAGGTTTCGTTTGGGTTCAAAATCCTCCAATATTCACCTTATTCTACCTGTCCCTGTATCGAAGATCGACGATTCACGACGAATTCATTGCCGCAGTTAAGGGCTATATGTGACAAAGATTGGTTTTATTTTATGCTGAATTGAATTGTTTTTGACAGATATACCCGTAGACCATACTAATTCCCCCGTTCAAAAGAGGCCAAAAGGGCTAGATTAAAAACAGCTGTAAATAACTACATTTCATAACCATTCTTACAAATAGAAGGCAAACAAGTAATTATTCTCTGAATATGTCTGCAGTATTGGGAAGTCTACCATCAGCATGTTTGTCACTATCTTCAAACACTTTCCGTACCAAAAATGCCTGGTTGCAACATCAAACCCAAATGAAGCCCACTGAAGCAATATATGACTTCACCGTATTGTAAAAGCTTCCATCGACAAAGAGTAGTGTATCTACAGCAGCGAGTCAAATAATGTTTAATCCCTTCCTGTAACAAAAAGTCGGGAAAGTATTAACTCCTGTGCAGTATGTTGAATTGGTATTGTGAGCTCATGGATGCACAAAAGTCTGTTCTGTTCTGCAAATCTTCTCCACTAAATCCTTGGAAATAGATTGAGACTCTCTGTCGGCTTTTGGTGCTTAACTTCGAAACCTGTCCCACTGTTTACGAGAAATAGAATCTGTTATTCTATTATCATAACTATAATACTACTACTAATAATAATACTTTATTTGACAGGAAAACCAGTTTGTCAGAGGCAAATCTTCCGTGGTATCCTCCTAAACTACACATACAATAATTATAAAATATACACATATAAAAATTATAAAGTATATATACAAAAGTTATAAACTACATACACAAATTATAAAATATACAATTACAAATATCATAAAATACACATGCAAAATCATGTTATAGACATACAATTATATTTACATTATACAAGACAATGATGTTAAGTCAAAATAAGCATTAACGTGACGATGGCGCTTTCAGTAGCCCTGCCTTTAGCCTCTTTAAAAATAGCAAGTGATTTGGGATGATGGAATCTTTGACCAAATAATTATGTTGAAAATTAAATGCTTATAAAATGCCTTTCACATTTTATATCATTTAATTTATTCTCTGAGGCTCACTACTTACACCCCGTATACTTCCTCTTTAAATCAGAGAAGTAAAAAACATTTAAGTTGGTAGCAGCTGTTTTATGATGACTTTTATCGATGTCTAAAATTGATTATCACCTATATATGTACATAATACAGAACATTCATATTTTGTTTCTCAATATTCAACAATGTCAGGTCAGTTTTCTTTCATCCTTTTCCACTGTAAATTAATGTTTATTTAAGATTCTAACCACTTTTTTTTCTAATCGCCGACCAACTTGAAGATACACTCGGTGGTACTACTCAGAGGGAATTAGAGAACGAATTTAGTTTCTAGTTCCAAATAGTTTTACCTGAAACCGTGACTATGACTACATAAGACCCGAGTGATATTTTACAATGAACTTTATAAAGAAAAGAATTGTTCGCAACTTTCTGCAAAGGGAAACCCAACTTCGCAAGACCAAGACTGAACTAAACCTATACAAGAGTAACCTATGGGTGGGTTATTTAGAATGTATAGCTTGTTGGAGATGCCTCAAGTCCAGTCACATCGTACACAACATCTACGATCACCACCAATTTTTTTTAGTCCGATCTGGTGTAGGAAAGTCCAAAAGAGTTCAAAAGAAGTGTATGACTGAAGGTTGAATATTTGATACTGGTGATTGTTACTGTACTGCTAAATATTTTTATTCGAAATCAAATCTGCCAGTGGGCGTATATTACCTTGCCTGGCAAGCTATCTTTTGGCTGTGTTGCCACTTATCTGATCTGATATTGTTTTTATCTTTGGTCATAATAAACCTCCTGATGATAAATGTATTTCTTCTGTGCTAGTTTACTTGGTAATCTTCGGGATCGGGACATTGACTAACGCCATATGAAATTTATTGCTTTTACAATTCCTTGGTCAGAAAAATAGAAGTGCCCTTTTGGTAAAAGTGTGTTCTTCTGATGAAAATGTGCCCTTTTGATGAAAAAAGTGCCCTTTTGATGAAAAACGTCTTATTGATGAAAAAAGCGTCCTTTTGATGAAAAAAGCGTCTTTTTAATGAAGAAAAGGGCGTTCTTTTGATGAAAACGTGTCCTTTAATTTCACAAATTTTACGCTTTTAGAACTTTTTTCATCGATGTGTCCATTTCATACAGAGTATTTTCTAAAGTCCTTTAAGATAAACACAATCGTTATTATTGGCTTCTGTTACATATCGATAAGCGACTCTTCCAGTATTCAATATTTTGTCGATGTTTTGTCTTT